CATAATTGATAAGAAAAAACTGATTAACTAATTGATCATAGAAAGCCCAATGTGAAATCGTAACATACTTTTCATGTATTTAATGTTGAAAATCCAATAATATTCAGGGTTCGCACACATTTCTGCACACAGAAATAAAATATTTTTAAGGACCATTAATGAAAAAATTAAGGACCTGTGAGCAAATGGGAACTGAATAAATTCAATTAAAAACATTATTCTATGCCTGATTTTCACTTTTATAATACCATTCTAAAAATAAAATAGATCCTCGATTAGTATGCATTATTACTAAACATGAATTAATTAACATAATTATTAATAAGTTTGAGAATAAAATAAACTGTATGAAATTTATCAAGTAGCATTAACTATTTTACACTTATAATAGTTGGACATATTTGAAAGAAGATAAGTGACATTTACATTTTACTAGTATGTTGATGATTTTTTTTATGTCTCATTTTGTCACATACTTAGTCAGTCTAGAGGTTTAGTAAATAGCAGGTAGATTTTATGTCAAAAGGCATAGGTTAAAAATAAGAAGTGAGACCATAATCAGCATAACAAAAGACTCAAGGTTGTCAGAGCTGTTGCTTGTCTAGAGACAGACCCGCTCAATAGAACAAACCTGAAAGGCCTGATGTAGACACAGTTGGGAAGTGTTGAAAGTTAGTCATACTTTGTTTGATGCAGTTAGTGTCATAGCTTTGTGTGGAGTTTCAAGGGGTTGTAGCCCAGTTAATACAGTCAAAAGTCGTTAATTCGGACACCCATAATCCGGACCTCAAAGCTACAAACTTTCTGCGCATGCGTCGCGTTCACGCATGCGCACAGGCGTTTAAGAGTGCGCATAAGACCTTCACGTCTGCGAATATGTTTGTGCGCATGTGGCTTAATGTGTAACGGAGGTATAAGCTAAGCTAAAAATTCAGTTAATGTTGCAGATTGCGTTGTTCCTTAATCTTTGAATTGGATCCGGCTTATTAATTTTTTGCAGACTGTTAGAGCAATTTCATAAAAGTAAGCTTGAACTTTCGATTATGTCAAATAGAATTTCCGATATATATTTACTAATATGTAATTTGTATCTACAAAGCGAAAGTATGTTTTGAAATCCGAAATCTGTTTATCAATTTCACGCTGCGGATTGGAAGTTGATCTGTCAGCACTATCCTTATCTTCAGGCAGATGTTTTATATTTTATTTGGCTTATAATTCCTTACTAAGTGTAGTATTTCATCTCGATGTACTCCGTCTTTGATATGATTTAAATCAAGTTCCTCGTCATTATAATTCGCTTCCGATAGTGAAGAAAGTGACCCAGAGGTTATTGAAAATGAAAACATTTCGATTGACAAATTAGTCGGTATTCTCAACACAGCAATTATAGGACTTGAACAGCGGAACTTTGTAACTAAACAAGAAATTATGTCTGTTTAATAGAATTAAAGAGAAAGTATTATGACATGAAACGAAGCAACTTACATTGAAAGAAATGCTTAATAAAAGTAAACAAATAAATATTAAGCTTTTTCTTTTTGTAAATTTTGATACCCTTTAGATCGTAATTGTTCTTTATTTCACAAATTACGGTTTCATATTTTTAATTTTGTAATTTCTGCATGCCATCTTACCAGATTTAAACTGATGATCTATAATCTGGAAAAATCGATAATCCGGAATCGCTGAAGTCCCGACGAGTCCGGATTAACGACTTTTGACTGTATACTTTAATGTTCCAATAAGCGATTAAAGTACCAGAGATGATAAATTGTTTTTTTATTATTTTTAAGTTTCACTAGATGCAAAGAATAAGTTTTACTTGAATTTTTACATTTTTGTGTTTTATCTTGTGACCACAATGAGTGTTAATAAAAGGCAATACTTGCTTTAATATATAGACATAATTTTTAAGGGTAAGCAGTTAGCTATAAATAATTAAATTAGGTAATTGGATAACCTTAGTCATAATGGATTTACATGGCCACTATTAAATTTTATTTTTTAACAATATTTGTTAAAAAAGCCTATTAAAATCAAAAGCTAATAAATTTTCACAGTTTAAAATATATATAATTTATGACATTAATTCTTAAACAATATTAGGATACACATTAAAAGCTACAAAACATTTATGTTGCGTAACAACAACACTCAATATTGATCCTTCATTTTAATTTGAAGCTTCCCAAACATTTTGCTAGTTTATATTGATTTCCTTCTCTTTAAGCATCTTTTCTAACAATTAGAGATTTGTCTCAATATGTAAACCAATGCTCTCGTTAGTTTTTGAGTGCTTATCTTCTAACTTGACAACCTCTCCACAAGGTACCTATGAGGGTTTACTTGATCTGGTAAAAGTCAAATAGTCCCAAACCCTTGACTGAATCATAAACTGAAGGGCTGAAATCATAAACAATAGGTAAGTTACATAATAACAACTACACATATCTTTGAAGAGTAATTTTCTTTATGTATTCAGTTTCTTTCTTCAACACGTTTCTTTTTCATTTTAGAATTTTTGGATCTAACTAAGGATTTCTGTCATTCTAAAAAACACTAAATGCATTTAGAATGTATAGAAGAAGTGGCTAATTTTATTTCTTAAGTAATATGAACATTCAGAAGAAATATGAAATATATATGGTAAAGCCCGGTTACAAAGTTGATGTGGCAGAATTTTTAGAACTTAGTGACACACCGAACAACAAAATCTAGAAATAGCAAAACTTTTAGAATTTAGAGCAGGCATTGGAAGCAGAATTTAGAAAGGCACTAGGCAGCAGAATTTAGGATCCACAAAGATTACATCAGGTGGGAAATGTCTAGTGTTGATGCATTAATGCTATGTGTTGATGCATTAAGACATATTAGATGAATCTTTTAAATTGTAAATTTTCAAGTTCTTTAATAATAAAAAAATCCCTTTCTATAATGCTTGGCCATGTGATAAGATTAGAAGCAGTTTTGATATTTTCCATACTTATGTCTAGTGAGAAGTAGAGAAAATAAAGGGAAGACAAACATGTTAGGAAAAAGATTCAAGTATCAGAAGTAAAACATTCAAATATTATGTTTTCATTGTTCTTCCAGACGTTCTCTAAAAGGTAAGAAATTCATCGCAAACTTTATGTAAAATACATCTATTATGTGTTGATATCATGGAGACATTTTTCATTTCGTCACATATTTCTTGAATCTTCTAGAATCATGGGTCTATAAATCTTGCCTTCAAATCCTTTTAAACTTCCCAAGCTGCAATGTCTAAAATAATAGAGAAAAGTTATCCCTACCAATTCTGTAACAGCAAAAAGGCAGAAATATTTTGGGAAAAAAAAAAAAAAAAAAAAGAGGTGGGAAAAAATGTAAAATTAATTTTATAGAGAAAACTGATGCATATTCTGAGAATTTTGAATATTCTGAGATGGGAAAAATGCTTACTATGAAAAAATTAAAAAGAAGACATTTTTATTAATTACATAGCTAATTTTGCTCTTGTTAGGAGCTGTTTCGTAAATTACACTTTATAGCATTATGCCTTATTTTTCAGATTCATAATACTGTATAATAAGTTGCCAAATGAAACTTTTAAATATGACAGCAAAAATAGAGATGTTTTATTTTAATGTTATTTTTTTAATATAATTTCAATATATTACCATTATTTTAATGAAATTATCAATGTTGTGATGTTTTAAAAAAAATTGTTGAAAAATTCTCAGATCTCGGAATTAAAAATTTTCTATAGAAAATCTTAAATTCACCAAAATGTTGACAAGTCGCCAAATTTAAAACCGTTTAATAAAATAATTCACATCCCCAAAAGCGAAAAGTTGTTTAAGATTTCTTTATTAGAAAAAACTAATTTCAAAATGCTTATGTTTCACTTCTTGCTTAGAAACTCGAGTATCCCATCATTTATATTAGAAATAGAAACAAATTATAACCCATTCAAAAGATAAGCATATGTGTCAGTGAATCGCCAAAAATATTCCTCCAAAATGCTAATTCACACTCAAAATGGCAGTCATAAAAACAGACAGAAATTTCGGTACTATTCGGTTTTGAGGGCCATAAAAAATTATTATAATTTATATAAAAAGGCTAAAGATGACTGAATAGAAGCATAGAGTAAATAACTATTTCAGATCATTATTATAAATTTATATAAAAATTGCCAAACATAACAGAATGGATGCCTGCATCGCTATTTCGCTACTGAGTTATCGCTAAAGCATAATTTCATCTCGTTGGTTGTTCAAACATAATTTTCTATAATGAATGATGCCTTTCTTTGAAAAATTCTCAGTAAAGTGCAGAATCGCCCACTTATTTGTTTGCCGCTTTTACAAGGGTAAAAACAATTGCATTTTTTTGTCAATTTTCTTTGACTTTTAAAGTGAAAATAGGTCGAATGTGTACATAGGATAAAGTCAAGGGTGTGCGCAATGCCATTTTTGTGCAATTCTGGGGATGTTTTTTGATGAAGTAAAAATAGATCGATGTGTACATACATACCGAGTATGAGCAATTCTTAAAAATGCGTCAAGTAGTGAGTGATTCTTCTGCACTTTACCCAAAATTCTATTGCAGACCTTTCATCATGAGCAATTCCCAAATTGTGAAATCCATAGGATATCAAAAAAAGATTTAAAAATTAAACAAGTATTTCAATGGCATCTTAAGAAATATAGAACTATATAAACTTACGCAATCTGAAATCAGCACCTACGCCAGATTTGGTGTGCTGTTTAAACGGGCGCGTTTGCTAGATTTGGCGCTTTTGCGCATACATTTTCGCTGCAGTTTTTTTAGGTCCTCAAAACGGAATAGTACCGAAATTTCTGATGATTAAAATTAAGGACCTTCTCCTGATTTTGGCCAAAATTAAGGACTTTTAAAGACCAAAAATCGATTCCAAAAAGTTTAAGGACACTTAAGGACCGTATGAACCCTGAATATTGCATAAAAATCAATAAAGGAAATAAAATGCTTACTTCATCTTCAAGGTTTTGTTTTTCTTCCTCCAAGCCTTTGATGCGCTGCTCCATTTCTTCACAGGTTTTCAAAAGGTTTTCATGCTTCTTTTCTAAGCGACGATAATTCAGCCTAATGATATTGAATTTAGGTTCTGGGGGATTTCCATGTTTATTCTGAAAATTAAATCACAACGAAAAATCATGTTGCTAATCTTTTATTTATTTTTAAAAGCATTCATTGAATAAAATAAAATCACTTAAAATTTGACACAGCAATACTTTTCTTCCATAAAACACTGAAGTCTCTACACTAATCAAATTAAAAACTCATATAAGGAAGGAATCAGCTAACTTAATTCAAATGGATTTTACTTTATGCGTATAAAAACGATGAGTAGCAACAAATAATTGCTTAAATTATTTCCTAATTTATATATTTCTTATTTCTGACCTCTCCATATTTACTTAAGATCAGTTGTTACGACATTCAAAATTACCGACTGGAATATTGTTATATGTCTAATTGTTTACTACTTGTGTCACTCCCGAGATATAAATTTTAAATTTATATTTTTATATCTATTTCTTATACATTTGTATTACTTTCTTTACTGTAATATTATTCAGGCTATTTTGCTTCCTCTGTTTTTTTCTGCATTGATTTCTCATCAAACAATACCAGTTTTACTTGAAGGTAACCTAGTGTTGTTAGATAAGAGTATAAACATCTCTGAACAATTTTTTTTTTTTTTTTTTTTTTTTTTTTTTTTTTTTTTTTTTTTTTAAAATTATTCTTTGCAGTTTAGAAATGCTTGCAGGCAAGGCTTTTTCGGGTGTAAAGAAATGCAATAACTTTTGACACCAAGTCTGAATAGTATGGGTTGTGTTGATCCAACTGCTGCCAGCCAAATGATTCAGCAAGTTAGCATCTAAGAAATATGATGCATCAAATTTTAATGAAGTAACAGAACTCTGGCAGATAGCGTGCTTTTGTGTTTGCAAAGAATTACATGGCATAGCTTCCTTTAAAGTTTAAAAGTATGCAGCATCTATCTGAATTTCATTCTTGTCCGAGACACATATTTCCATTCTAATCACTGCTGCTAGGATTAGAGGTCATATCATGCATTAATGTCTCATTTTTCATCACTATGTGGCTTAAAGGTACATTATCATTTTCCGAGTGTTAGGTAAAAAATGTCAGGCATGAATTAATCACTATGTTTTGTGTTCCTTAGCGAGCATCTCCAGACGAAGGACAGACAGTAATGCTTAGTACTTCAGCAGTATGGTTTTCTCCAGCCCAAATTTTTGGATACAGTTTTGTAAAGAACTGACTGTGAAATTTGAGGAATGGTGAATCATCTGTTTTCATCGATCATGGAGTCTACTGTATATACAAAATTGTTGTCAATTACAGACAGCTGCTCTAAGCATGTTTCACAAATCTCCTTTGGCCTTTTAAAAATAACATACAAAATCAAAAGTTTAAAATCTTGAAGCGTTTAAGCTCAAAATGTGTCCACGGAGATGTGTCCTGAGGTGCATGTAGTAAAGGCATGCATGCTGCAAGTTCTGTATCTGAGAAATATGTTGGTATTAGAATATATTTTAGTCAATGTATTTTAGTATGTATATTTTCTGTATATTATCTTATTAGATTTAAACTGATGATCTAAAATCTGGACAATTCCCAAACCTGGAATCACTGAAGTCCTGATGAGTCCAGATCTTGGACCTCGTACTTCATTATGATTTGTGTTGTAAATAAATGCATCAGTGGAGGCCATGACATAGCTCGCGAGGCATGTACCGCTCTCCCAAGCAAGTGGTGCAGCTCTTATGCAAATAAAATACGTTTACATAATATAATAAACTGAAACTATTCAATGTCCAAAAGAAAGCAATTTATTTCATTTCTTTATAAAATTATCAGATATTTCTTTCCATTTAAAAACTGTTTCATTGCTTCTAAAATTATGTGAATATGGACTTTTGACTTTGGGAAAATCTAGTGCAGTACTCAAATTTTCTTGAATTTTGACATATGGCTGCCATATGAAATTTGGCCACCCTTGATTACATTCTTGGTAAAGAATACCTTTGCAATAAAGTTCAGTGCACAAGTTATACAGTTTAGATTATTTACCATATTATAATATTTTAATTTAAAATGTTATTTCTGAATTTTAGGAATTTTAAAATAAAACCTTATTTTCATTATATTCTTGCAGTGATAAATTAACTAAACTAAGAGAAAATCTTTGAAAATTTTTAATTAATGTTCATGTTCATTAATTATTCATGGAAAACAGAAGATATAAGTATTAACAAATTATTAGCTAGAATGTGTAATTATGGCCTATATAATTATTCAGTTAACGAAAAATGCCAATAATAAACTCAGAAATAAAATATTTAACAAACCTTTTGTTCATCCGATAAAGTTGCTTTGAATTTTAATGACATCTCCTCAAGCATTTCCTTCTGGTGATTCATTTCTTTTTTATTCTCCTGTATTATTTTTTTAAATTTACAAAACGTTTGCTGCAGAAGCCTCAGATTACACAGCAACTCTGTAATGATATTGGAAGATACAATTGTAAATTTATTGTCACAACTGATATCATTTATATATTCTCCACAAGACATCTGATTATCGATGAAGGTTTCAGGATGCTCTTCTGTTTCAGAAGCAAAGTTGCAAATGGATTTGGAGATATTTTGCAGCATGACCTGAATTTCTTTACTGAAATTAAAAGCCTTAAAGAATGATACCAACCATGTGGATATATCATTTTGCAGTTTAAATTCTGATTTCAGTAATACCTCAATGCTCTGTTCCCAAGCAACTTTTAAAGAAATTAAATCAGACTTGCCAGTTTCATATTCTTCATGTAAAGAATAACTTTCAACCATATTTATGATTAAATTAAGTATTTTCACTATAAAGTTTTTAGCAGTAGTTAAAGCTGTTTTTGCATTTTGTAATTCAGATGATAAATTATTATTGAATGTGTTGGCATTACTACTTATCTTCAATTTCAAATTTTGATTTTCATCTTGCTGGTGAATAAATTTGGTAAACAAATCATCATATTTTTTCTTATAACTTTCTGTTTGTGATGTTTGATTAGCTTTGAGAAGTGAAATTTCAGAGTTAAGCTCACAATTAATTGCTTTAATTTGTTTGACATCCGCATGTGCTTCTTCTAACTCTTGATTCAATTTTTTCAGGGCTATTTTTTCTTTTGCATACTGTTTCTCTAAAGCCTCTTGAAGTTCATTTTGCATATTTATACCTTCAGAGCAGATTTTCTTCTTTAATTCTTCAATTATTTTACCATCTTCCTTTTTATCTTCAATCATATCTTTCAATTTTAACTTTAAAGTATTGCATTCTTCAGAAAGTTCTTCTATACAAATTTTAATTTGTTCTCTTTCTTTTTCCAGTCTACATATTTCTTTTTTATAGTTTGCAGTTTCTCTTAATTTTTCTATTTTTATGTTTTGCAGTTCATTCTTCACATTTTGAATTTCATTATGTAAAGCAATTTCAGTTTCCTGTTTACAATATAAATTGACTTCTACTTCTTTAATTTTAGATTCAAGTTCTAATTTTTCTGTCTTAATATCTGAAATTTTTTGCTTCAGCTGAGTGATAGTTATAAGATTATGTTCTGAATTAGAAATCTTTTCCAGCAGAGCACATTCATGCTCAAATTTGATATTTTTCAGAATCATTACATCAGTTTCTAGTATTTTATTACGATTTTTCAACTCCTCGCAATATATCTCATTATCTTGTTTCATCTTTTCCAGTTCTTCCAAATTCCTTGAAAGAATGTCCACGGACTTCTTTTCTTCTTCATACTTATCCTTCCAAAACAAAATGTCATGCTCTAAATCCTTTGTTTTTGAACTGTTATTAGTTTGGGCTGCTAACTCATCAAGCTTATTTTGAAGTTCTTGTTTCTCTGAATATATGCTCTGTAATTCCTCTTCAACATTTTCAATAGTCAAATTTAATGAAATTTTAGACTGTTCAAGAGATTTTACTTTCTTTTGCAACTCACTAATGATTTTTTTGGACTGCTGCTCAGAAGTTTGAAGTACTTCTTTATCCACTTCAAACCTATATAATTTAGCATTCAGATCATTTATTTCTTTCTCATAGTTTTCACACTTCAAACTCATTTGCTCAAGAGCTTTTTCTTTCTCTTGAATTGAATTTTGGAAAATCGGAATTTCTTCTTTATAATTGGGACAAAGATTAGTTTTACTATTCTCTGCATGTACTCCATGCAAAGCTTTACCATGTTCAATTAATTTTTCACTTTTGCTAATAACCGAGTTATCAAGTTCTGTTTCAGTTTCTTCAAGATTTAAAATTAAACAATCTTTTTTACAATTAAGAGAAGACATGTTTTCAGAAATTTTAGTTAACCTATCACATTCAGAATTTAAAATTACAGTTTCTTTTTCTTTCACACTTTCAAGATCTGTTTTCAGTTCAACATCTGTAGACTGTACAATTGTATTTTCAGCTTGAAAATCAGACTCATCTGTTCGCATCTGCTTTATTTTAGTCTTAAGCTCTGCCATTCCTTTAAGTTCTGTTTTCAGTTCAGCAATTTTAGAATGCAAATCTGCATTTTCTGCTTGAAAGTCAGACATGTCTCTTTGTATTTGCTCTATTTCAGTTTTAAGATTATTATGAGTTGCTATAAATTCTACAAGAGATTTAAGAAGATTAATGGGTTTGAGAATATCATGCTGATATTCATCTAAACTACACGTGCCATCACTTCCTGTTTCACATATTTCACAAAAACAAGATTCTGAAAAGCTGTCAATGTCTATTTCCATCGCAGAAAGTCCACTTTTGATATTGATGAGATTTTGTACATGGGTAAATAATTTCTTTGCATCTAAAAATTTCACTTTCAATTTCTCCTTTTCCAAATAGACTCGACTCAATTTATTTTCTACTTCTTCAATAACAGTACTGAGGTTGATATTCTTAATTTTTTCAACTTCATAGCAATGTTGCAATGTATCTATTCGTTTCTGGGCACGAGCAATTTCACGTTTTAGTTTTTCTATTTCATATATAATTTCTTTCACATCTTTGAAAAACAATTCACTGAGGTCAAATTCATTTTTATCATATATAATTGTACCAAAATTACATTCATTAAATTTCATATTCCTGCAACACAGTTTTGAGTACATATCTATAATGTCCGATTTCTCTGAATTCATAATGTTATTAATACAAGATTGGATTGGACCACCATTAGAATAAGAATGGATCAATAAACACAAATTACTCAACTCTTGATGAGACAATAAAGAATATCTATAATTAGATGATATATTGGATAAATTGTCAGAAGGAATTTTTGACATGCCTTCCTCAAATACACACACTGCAAAATTAAGCAAAACAGAGCAATATGAAGCACTTACAATGCTTATTATCTCTTTAAAGTTCAGATTTAGATTGAAATTCACAAGATTTAAGTCCTTTTGCATTCCAAATGAACGTTCTGAATTCAGAATTTCATGTCTAATATAAGTATTATTTACTTTATTTACACATAAAACATAATTTGTATTTTTGATGACAGGAAAATGAGAAATATTGCAGTGAATGTTTTCAAACCTGTCTAGGTACAGAGTGTACAGTTTAATATTCTTTAAAGTTTTATGAATATACTTTGAAATGAAAAGCATGATACTTTTTAAATTCTCTTGAAGTTCCACAGAAGTCTCATTTACCTGTCTTTCCATCTGCATGTTATTATCAAATGGCTTGCTTTTACATAAAATATTTGAAAACAAATTTAATATTTCATTTAAATAAATATCAACCCTGAGCGAATCCCTGTTTGTTTTTTGAAGTATATAATAAGAAACGTTCCTCAGGTTTGCTATAGTATGTAGATGTTTTCTCAAATTAAAGGCAGTCAGGCATACATCAAATAGACTTTTATCATCAAGCAGTTTGCGACACACCAAAAACTGCAAAGAGAAAAATAAATTCATATATATAAATTATACTACATATAATCAGAAAACAGATATAAAGTTAACTACTACTTGAAATAAATTCCAGTCAAACAAGCACTTTTAATCATAGTGAGAAATAAAGCATGTACTCTTAGTAACAAAAATACTGGAGTAAATCTGAAATTAAAAGCTCATAGCTACTACACTAGAAATTCCATAAATGTGAAAATTAGTTTTTTATAATTAGCTAATATTAATTCTATTTATAATTAATGTATAATAATGATAACTATTTATACTAAGAAATAACATTAAAACATGTATATGTGAACATTATGATTTAGATACATCTCAGGTACATGAATTAAACATCCAACTTTAGGTGAAATAAATTACTTGCGATTCACCAAAGTTATATAAGAATGATTCAATATAAAAAAATTCAGTCATCATTCTAGTTCAGAAATAGTGTTGACCTAAACCTTATAAGAAATTTGTGATGCCTGTTGAAAAATCTTGTATGAATGAACCATCCATCAAAATAAAATGCAATTAACAGTATATAATTCACGAGTTCTCAAACAGGGGGATTCCCTTTTGTGGGAAATTTCAGAGGGAGAATGTGGTCAGTGGATAGTTTCAGTGAGAGAATGTGGTCAGTTTTTAACTCCGGTGTTAATTTTATTCAAAATTACTTTTATTCCAAGTTTTGGCATTTATCAACATTTTCTACATCTTTCTTTTTATTTAATTTATATGGCACATTGAAAAATAATCTAAATATGTGTATACAATGCCCGCCACTTCATAAAATCACTTCCATTCCAAACTTATTTGAGTTTATTATGTGGCTGGGTTTAGACAGTGATCTCTGTATTGTAAATTGTAGTACCCATTTTAAATTTTTAAGTAAAATGTTGACTAATAACTAATTCAATAATTAATCCTAAAATAATAATAAATAATTCATGCTAAAATTAAGTTATTTAAGAGATTCTGAAAATTATTTTTTTTATTTCTTATAAAAGTATTTTTCTAATTACCTTCTTATTGAAATTTTATCTCATTAGAGAACTACTCTAACTGTGGTTGTTTCATATTGTTCAACGATAATTTTTTGATCAAATTTTGTCTCTTTAGATCACTACTTTAAGTGTGTTTATTTCATATGGTTCAAAGACAATTTTTAACACTAGAAGCGCCACAGCAGTCACTTTGACTACTTTCGTCATTTGACCTTGGATTCCTTAAAAACCCTTTATCTTAAGAAGTCACAAATTTTGGTATTTTCCTAAAATATGTCGAAAATTATTGGTACCAAATATAAATCGAATGAAATTAAAATTAACGCAGATATTAATAGTTATACCTAAAAGCGCCACGAACAGTCATAATGACTGCTAGTAATACTGGGTAGATTTATATGGTATTCTCGCTCAGAAAATATTTTTCTTAGAAAAACATCTGGCGTACATTTACATTCTTTTCATTCACTGATTATTTACAGAAGGAATTACATTATTTTACAGAAAAATTACATTATTTTCCGAGAAATAATGTCTCACAATCGTTTTTGAGACATTATGAAATGTCTAAGATTTGACTTGAAGTCAACTAGGACTCAGCATTTAGAAAGTGATAAGTTTGCACATTTTTCCGATATTTGGAATAAATTTATACAGAACTGTGCAATTTCCTATAAACCAGGAGAAAATCTAGTTGTGGATGAGCAGTTATTTCCATCCAAAGCCAGGCGTAAGTTTATACAGTCAAAAGTCGTTAATCCGGACTCGTTGGGACTTCGGCGATTCCGGATTATAGATCATAAGTTTAAATCTGGTAAAATGGCATGCAGAAATTATAAAATTAAAAAAATGAAACCGTAATTTACGAAATAAAGAACAATTATGATCTAAAAAGGTATCAAAATTTACAAAAAAAAAAAAAAGCTTAATATTATTTGTTTTACTTTATTAAACATTTCTTTCAATGTAAGTTGTTTAAGTTGCTTCGTTTTTTATGTGATAATACATTCTCTTTAATCTCTAATTCTATAACAGACATAATTTTCTTGTTCAGTTACAAAGTTCCGCTGTTCAAGTCCTATAATTGCTGTGTGTCGAGAATACCCACTAATTTGTCAATCGAAATTTTTTGTTTTCAATAACCTCTGTCACTTTCTTCGCTATCGGAAGCGAATTATAAGGACGAGGCATTTGATTTAAATCATATCAAAGATGGAGTACATCGAGATGAAATACTACATTGAGTAAGCAATTATAAGTCAAATAAAATAAAAACATCTGCCCTTAAGATAAGGATAGTGCTGACAGATCAACTTCCAATTCATTGCACGCCGCCGCAGCATTAAAGATAAACAAAGTTTAGATAAAAATTTAGATAAACAAAGGATATGCCTTTATCCATTTTTTGCAGCAATTCCACTTTTTGTTTAATGGACTCCGAAAGATACTTTCGCTTTGTATATCCTTTACATATTAGTAAATATATATCGGAAATTCTATTTGACATAATCGAAAGTTCAAGCTTACTTTTATAAAAGTGCTCTAACAGTCTGCAAAAAATAATAATCCGGATCCAAGTCGAAGATTAAGGAACAACGCAATCTGCAACATTAACTGAAATAGATAATTAGATAATTTTAGCTTAGCTTATCCCGTCCGTTATACATTAAACGCGCATTCGGAAACGTATTTTGCACACGCGCGCATGCAAATTCGCAGTGGTAAACGTCTTATGCACATGCGTCAACGTGACGCATGCGCAGAAAGTTTGTAGCTTTGAGGTCCGGATTATGGGTGTCCGAATTAACGACTTTTGACCGTACAGTAGATGCCGAATAAACTGGATAAATTCGGTATCAAATTTTGGATGTTAGTCGATGTAGACTCGAAGTATATGTGCAATGCTTTTCCATATCTTGGAAAAAATACATCGAGAAGTGAAATTGAAAGTCTTCCTGAAAATGTAGTAATGCGTCTTCTAAGCCATTACCTGAATTCAGGTCGAAATTTGACATCGGACAATTATTTTTCCTCACTATCATTAGCTAGAAGACTTAAAATGAAAAACACAAGTTTTGTCGGCACAGTAAGAAGACATCGACAAGAAATTCCACATGAAGTAAGGAAATCAAAAACCCGGCTATTTGAAACAGTTTTGCTAAAGAATGGTGAAACTACGCTCACTGTCTACCATGGAAAAAGGAATAGAAATTTCCTACTACTAAGTACCTTACATCCAAAGTGTAAATATAGACTCACAAAATAAAAAAAAAACCAAATGTGGAGTTGATATCGTTAACAAGATGATACGTAAATATTCTGTTTCGGCTGCTTCATGTAGATGGCTTGTTCATGTTTTCTATAATATGCTGGATTTAGCAGGGACGAATGCCTACATTATCTATCATAAATTGAGTGATAAAAATATTACAAGGCACGACTTCCTATTTTCAATTAGCAGAAGAATTAAGAGAGCTTTATTTAAACAGAACAAAAACCGCAAAATTGCCCCAGGAAATTTCCAAATCTACCTAATAGACTCTCGAAAAAAAGACATCAATGCCAGATTGGACTTTGTAACAACAACAAAACAAGTAATGTGTGTAAAAAATGTTCATATTATGTGTATGGAAAATGCACTTCCAATATTGAAAAAGTTGTGTTTTGTAAAAATTGCAAAAAGCTGTAAAATGTGTTTTATTTAGGGTAGGCTGAAATTTATAATAAAATATCCTATATTTTTTATTAAAATAACTGTTATTCTTTAAGTTCTTCAACAATTGTAATTATAATTCTTAAAAGCATTATAAAGCATTTACATTGAATATATACCTTAATTCGTTGAGCAGTCAATTTGACTGCCATTGGCGCTTCTAGTTAGGGAGAAAGCTTGGCGCTTCTAGTGTTAAATTATATTCTCAATTTTGTACACTGCTGGTAGTTTTTTTTTATCAGTACCTTTCAGAGTATTTTTTAATAGTAAGTTAGAGGTTTTTATTTTTTTGGGGGGGAGATCAACACTTTTTTCTGTATCACTTTTGTTATCAGTTTCTGTAGTTCTTTTGATATTTTTATAGTCAAATTTTGCATATGTTGTCTCAACACTCTTGCTGATAAAGCCCTTGTCCACAAAGGCCTTAAATAAATGAACCACAAAATACTTTGGTAAGTACAAGTAGGATATTCTGGCACTGAAGAGTTAATGAGTTTTATAAACAGCGGAGATGAGTTCAATAAATGGCAGTTTTTCTATTGATTAGTAAGCATTTGCTTTAGTTCCTGGAAATATGAATCTAATAAGCAGCTGAGTTTGTTAACCAGTGAGATTAATAAGCAGGGGGCATTGTATATGCATTTTTTGAGTTTGGGGAAGGAGAAGGGGGAATGATTTTTTTCGCGATGGTAAAAGGGATGCATGAGGCAAAACAGGTTGAGAACTACTGCTATAATTGCATGTTAGCACTATGTAACAATGAAAGAAAATCTTCAAGTACTTGTCAGTTCAATTAGACATTACGAGGATTTGCTATCAGGAATACTTATATTTCCCTATGAAGTACTGCCAGGGTTTGTACACACTTCTGCAAGTTAAAATAAAACATATATAAAGACCATCAATGAAAACCTTTAAGAACCTATCAGCAATAGGAACTGAATAGACTAAAGCAATTATCTACATCCAAATTTCCCTTTAGTAATTTGTAATACATTAGTAATTTGTAATAACAAAATAGATCTATAAGCATTATCATTAAACATAATCTAATATTTAATTATAAATAAATATAAAACAAATTCAAGAATAAAATTAACTTCATAATTTTTTTCAAGTAATTGGCATTAAATTATAAATTTCTTAAAACACATATATTTAACACTTATCTTTCAAAATTGCACATCCTTTAATAAAGATTAGTGGTTTTCTTATTTAAATTTTACCGAAAATAAAGTTTAAAGAGCTATCATTACACAGATTCCTTCCTTTAAGCCTCATTTTGTCACATACTCTATCAGTCCGGAAGTATATGCAAATTTTATGTCATTGTGAAGCAAAATCATAATCAGCATGACTCATAACAGAAGCGTGGTTGCTGTCATTATAGCTGAGATAGAAATGAAAAAGTGACAGAGAGGTCACAGAAAACGATAAAATTTCGGTTGCCAAGTTAAGTCGGAATTCTTGACATAGCAACTATAGGACTTGAACAGTGGAGTTCTTCAGCTAAAGGCACTCCCAGTGCCATCCAGTGGCGCAATATAGCAAAATCTGTGCCGTCTTCAACATGTTAATTTTATAATTTATTAGATTACTAGATTACTAATTACTAGATTTTGACTGAGGATCTAATATCTGGAAAAATTTCAATCCAGAATTGCTGAAGTCCCAACCAATCCGGATCTCAAACTTTGTACTGTATAATGTTTTAGTCTATGAATATCATTAACAAGACGTATTTTTAGGATATGGAAAGAAACTGTTGTTAAATTTTTTCTCGTCAACATTTCACAGTGCATTTAACTTAAATCTGTAATCATTGCCAAGTGCAAAGTCCAAAAAAAAAAAAAAAAAAAATCCATACTTTTTGTTATTCAATTACTAATATAAAAAAATTGTTTAGGCATAGCTGCATAAGTCATTACTCAAGTTGTCATGTGCAGATAAACACGTGGTGATGAAAGCAAAATATAATAAAAAATGATTAGCCAGGTTGGTGTCAGGGATATAAAATATTAGTAGTTGTAAAATGAATGATGTTTCTATGTAGAATGTTTCGGTTTGAGATGTATGCCAAGTAGGCCAAATTATTGATCACACAAATTTATGCTAAAATGATTGTTTCTTCAATAGTTAGGTATTTTATTTTGTGCCAAAGTGAAATTAAGAATCGGAACTCTCTACATGTTTTATTATGGAGTGAAAAAAGTGAAAAGTGCATGTATAAAGTGTTTAAAAAAAAGGTTGTTAGTGGCTTTGAAGTCCGAATTTTAAATCATTTCAAATATTGGACATCCAGATCTCGAACTTTGTACTGTAATAGTATGATAATTAAATGAAAATGAATTGCATCATATTAAAATAAGAAAGCTTCATATTATAAATCTTGCATGCTTTCTCCTGCATTGAAAAGCCCCAAAAAACTATTACATTTCGCAAAATGAACAGTTCAAAATTATGAATAAATAAATGAGAGACAATTTTTGTAATTAAATGAGTAAAGAAAAATGTGATAAATATTGCATAATAAACTTACTTCACATTTGGTTAATTTATCCACCAAATTCTTCTCCAAAGAGCAGAGATGTGTAAAAGTGTTGAATGTTGATTCATTTAGTTCAGAAAAGCATACCTTCTCTTTCAGGTTTTGAAACATGAGAGCTTCTCTAATTAGACTTCCAAATTCAATTGAATTAATTTTCTGCTGTATACCTGAAATGATTTCAGGTTCTCTGTTCTTGGATAAACAGATTTTGCAAAGAGAGTTCTATAAAATAAAGAAATTCCATTTTCAATTACAGAATCCAAAACAGTACAATAATAATTTATGGTGCAAATGTTAAAAATAAGTGTTAAACCTAACTGCAAATATAAATATTATTTTTGTTACATTTTAATCACATACAATTTTATATGAATTTTACTATGTAACAAAGTCTTTTGATCAAAACAGGAAAAAACTATACAACAGAATTTAAACTACTCTTTACATAAAAAATAAATTAAAAAGTTACCAGACAATTTTAAAAGGTCTTAAACAAGTTGCTAATCTTTAAATCATAATTTATCTTAAATCTCCACAAAAATACGAAACACCTTTGTATCTGTAGTTTAAAACAGCAATGATAAAACGCAAATGAAGTATCAACAATCTCTAAGATATAGGCCAAATTTAACATTTAAAACATACCAAATACCACTTTCTCACACACAACAGCAGACTTATTTTGGACTGACATAACTGAATATGGTTTATAGCAGAACATTTCGTTATATTATCAGATTATAAAAAAACTTGTTAGACCCTGAGCTTACATCTCAATTTGACATAAATATGCTAGTAAGTAGTCTGATATCAGTATCCAAAAGCCTCTCACTCCTCTTTCACTATATCCATCTACTTCTTATATACCATGCCTGCTCCTAGCATTAATTAGATTCACATTAGTAACACAATAATGCTTCTAAGAGTTTTAGTTTAAAAAGCCTCAAAATATACACCCAGTGATGCTAGAAATGCTTGGAAATTACATTAACCTACCTTTACTAAAAAAATGAATGATTTTTTAATTATACTAAATTTTGAAACAAAATGTTGTGTAATTTAGTAAAAAGCCTTATTGCTGTCTCACAAGGCAACTATGAGTGCAAATGTTTCATAACCCTATCCCCCAAAAGGTAGAAGAAGACAAAGAAAAGAAAGAAGGGGGAAAGAAAACTTGGCAAGTGGATTTCTTTATCAACATAAAAGTAACCATGATCCTTTTCAAAGTTCATAACTAATTTAGTATTCATTTTTAAATATTTTGCTGAACTATGAATAATTGTATTCAGAGATTTATGCAACATTTAGTAGTACCAAGTATGGATTTATAACTGATTTAGAAGAGATTTTTTTTCGTGACGTTTGTATGTACGTATGTATACGTATCTTGTATAACTCAAAAACGAGTAGCCTTAGAACATTGAAATTTTGTATATGGGACTGCCATAATATATAGTTGTGCAATTTTCTTTGAGTTGCAAAGATATGCAAATATAAGATAAAACAAAATATGATGGCTGCTTTAAAAAATAATTGGCAACCTCAAAATTAACTATTCTAAATTAACTATTCTAAATTTGGTGCTCTCTCCCTAAATTCATCTGTTCTCCCAAATTCGAGATGTTTTCAAATTACATAACATTGTTTGAAAAAGGGAACTAAAACTAAAATTGACCAATCGCGGCATGGCTTTGCAGTTGCACCTACGTAGTATAAATACTGCTTCGAGCAAATAGCCTCCTTTTTTTCCTAGCTTCTGCCACGTCAACATCTCCATTCTGCTTATGATTTTCTGCCTGTAATGACATCGTATCTTTGTACCTGTGTATATAAAAATTATTTGTATTCAACGATGATTGAAAAGTAATTTGTTTGCCAAAAAGATGATTTGAAATGTGTAAAAATAAAGATGGTGATTCTTCAATTCAGTTTTGTTAGCTGCTTCATGAAGCCTTCACTCTTAGCCACTACTGTCTTCTCAGCCACCACTGTCTTCGAGTGCCAGAAATTAAAGTACCGGATTCACGACTATGCATTAAAAATATTACACACACCACACGCATGTATATATATATATATATATATATATCCACAAAGTTACCCAGCTCATTGAACTCAATTTTTTATTTATATGTTGGTAAATTGTGCAATTTTTTTTTGGGGGGGGAGGTGGAGCTTTAAAAGTGATTGAATTATGTTTTTCTTATTTTCTGGTTAAGGTTTTTATGCCTTTAGTTAATCTGCATGCAATACTTGTAGAATTATCAACAATTTTAAAAGCATTTATGTGGTGTTAAGCCTAACAAGGCCCTGATTTGTTTACATTTGAAACTTTTAGTAGAATAGTGAATTAAGTCAGTTTGCGCATCAACTTCAGTATATTTTTGCCGAGTGGGATCAAAGTAAATTTTCAATTTTGTGCACCAAAAAATCTGTCTTCCTGCCCACTGGCCAAATCTCTTGCTTTTGCGAGAGAAACTCTGATTTTAATTCTGGAAAAAAAAAAAAAAAAAAATCTAACTGTTTTTAACTTTTATTGCTGTTTTACGTTTTTCTGTATTTTACCATTTTTAATGAAGATGCTTTGAGTTTTCATGTATTTTTGTATGAAACTAATGAAATTCGAGGAAATAAGCTTAAATGAAATGCAGCAAAAAATGTCTATAATTTACAAGGCTGTACAAGGAAGGCATGGTGTCCACATCAGATATTTTATCTTTCAGTTTTATGAGCAGTAGTAAGGTAAAAGCAATGCTTATTTTAATAAATGAAACAAATAAGGCCTAGATGTAAAACTAATTACTTAAAATTTCAAAACTGTTGTTTTTAACAGTTTTGTGTAAATTAGACCTAGTAACAAAACTCATCCATCCTTTACAATAGAATCACTTCTCCATCATCAAATCAAGATTTGTATTTATTTATTTATTTATTTATTTTTTTAATCTATAAAAAGTTTAAGAAAAGCATACAGATAAAACAAAAAAGTTTTAGTCATGTGCTTACTTTCAAGCTATCTTTTTGGTCTCCCTTTTTGCTGCTATAATTAACATAGTGAGCATCACTTTGGCTGAGTACTGACTGAAGGTTAATTAAATCTGCCTTTATCTCTCCAAGGCCTACGGCAAGCATTTGCACTTTGCCAGTTTCAGTAGACAATAATTCATGAACAATGCTTTTAGCAATTGCAAAACTTTCCAGTTTTTCTCTTAATAAATTCTGTTTTGTTAAGCAGGCAGTCAACTGATTTTCTAACAGATCTTTTTCAGACTTAGAAGACGAAAGTTGATCTTCATGTTCATGGATTTTCTCCTAATGAGAAAAAATTTTGTAATCAATTAACAAATATACCCTCTTTAATACTGAGATCAATTGTAAGAGTCAGGAAACTACTATATTAAATGTTAAAGTGGTATGATATAAAATCAGATTTAGTCTATTTTTTTATATTTTTGTTTAAAACTAGTCAACACCGCATTCTTAATTTTCATGACAAAAAGACTATACCTCTAATTCATTTTGATTTAAAAAGTAAACATGAGGAAAATTTCAACCTTTGATTAGCATCCAATATTTTTGTTTACCTCATATTTCTCTGAATTTCTAAAAACAAATCTCTAATTTTAGAAAGCTGTTAAAGCCCTGAAACAAAATCAAACAGCTTACTTATTGAAATAAGAAGGAAAAGAACAAATGATTCAAATGAAAGAAATAATCTTAATAACCATATGTATAGTATAAGCAACTACTCAGTGACAGGCACAAGAGAATCACAATAAATGTATATTAGGTTTCATAAAGACAAGAAAAAGACTGCCTAACTATTGTTATTCTCTCTGACCTTCTTAAGAATTTCAAAGATCTCTATTGCCATTTCTTCAATTTTCGATTCTTCTGGACCAATAATGCATGATGTTTTGGAATGTTGACATATTTATACTTCCTAGCATTTAGAATATTACATATTAATTAGAAATATTAAATGATTATGATACTTTTGAAATTAATAGCTTTAGACTAACTTCCCTATTAAAAAATCATCTGCCAATTATTCGGAAAATGAACACTTAATAAAATAAATATCATTATGCATGGGCAACTCTATTAAACATCATGCTGACTCAACTGGGTCAACATATTGCATATCAATGAACCACTTAACTTCACTAATAACTTGCCATTCTAAAAGTACATTTTTTTAACAGAATGATAAACTGGAGCTGCTCTCCCCCCATCCACACGTCAGTAATTTATCAAAATATGGTGTTACATCCTCATGAAGACTATGCAGCATGTTTCATAATCCTTCCATGGCCATTTGGGAAATAGCTTTTATCATGATTTTTCAGCCCAAACAAATCTGTATAAAAAATAAGGCATAATTAAATTGTCCCTTGCATTTACAATAAATAAGGAGTGAACACGCAGCAAGCTCCTTTTGCAAAATTTAGCACTGAACTTATAAAAATATCACTTGATCTAATAATGCCTACTTTGCTGTGAGCAAACCTGGTATAAAATGCAAACAACATGAGGAACATCACTTAGAACAATGGTCTCAAACCGACAGCCTACAAGCAGTCCCCGAAGCAATTATATGCCTGTAACAACATTTCAATTATGTATCTATACATTAAAAGCTACAAAACATTTATTTTTTACAGCAACAACAAAATAATTATGCATCTATTAAATTGCAAAATTTCCAGATATTTCAGCTAATTTACACCAATTTCCTCCACTTTAGCATCGCTTTTGAGTTTGTTTCAATAAACAAATCAATGTCCCCATTCTGTATCTGCTTCATATTTTTAATTTGTTAATGTCTCTACACGGTATCTTTGAAGAATAATTTTTTCTCCCTCTAAAAACCATTTTTTCAATGAATTTCCTTTTCATTTTATAATTTTCAAATTTAATTAAATATTTCTGTTATTCTAAAGAACTGCTTGTACTTAGAATGTATAGAAAAAACTGTTAATTATATTTTTTTAAAATTATATGAGTATTGAGAATAAGGCCAGTGCCAGAGTGTGACAATGGCAACATTGTACGGAAAAAACATTTTTATCTCCAACACGTGAGACTGTCAATGGAAAATTCCAAAAGTAAGCTGTTTTTAAATATTTTGTGACATTGCTGTTGAAACTGTGAGTGTGACAGAATTTTTAGAATTTAATGAAGCACTGTGCAACAAAATTTAGGGCAGGCACTGAAGTATGTATGGTACACTGAAACATATAATAAATCTTTTATTAAATTATCAATTTCCAGTTTCTTTGCTTTCTTTGATTGCTTCAATGCTTGTATGTAGTGGGAAGAAAACAAAATAAAGATTAGATAAACATGTAAAGTAAAGTGGTATTAACACGCAATGGAATATCCATTGCGTGTTAATACCATGAAGACACTTTTCATTTCATCACATTTTTCTCCAAATTGTAGGTCTATAAGTCTTGACTTCAAAACAAGAATTTATAAACCTTCCAAGGTGCTAGAGCTAAAATCCAAAATATAAACTATCCCTCTCAACTCTGTAAGAACAAACAGCCAGAAGATTGTTTGGAGGAGAAAAAAATCTGAACGCTTTCAGATTTTATATAACAACAAAAGAGGTTATTTTTAACATTTGGTGTGTTATCTTTAATTATTGGCTATCATGTTCTTTGCACTTACATTGCCTCATTGGACCTTAGTTTTTTAAAAATAAAAAGAGGATCACAGTAACTGTCAATGCAGATCATTCCATGGAGATGTTACAATCTTTTGTCATACCTGAATTGAACATTTTTCCACATGTTAAACAAACCTGGTTTCAACAGGATGGAGCGACATCACACACTGCACAGCAATCAATGGAAGCTGTGCAAGAATTGTTCGATAACCGTGTGATTTCAAGATTTGGTAATATTCCCTGGTCCCCTAGATCGCCAGATTTGTCTTTGTCCGTTTGTGAGTTTTTTTTGGGGGGGCAGTACCAGTAAAAGTACAGAGTACAGAGTACCAGAGTAAAGTGTACACGACTCGACCAAGAACTCTGGATGAGTTAAAACAGAGAATTCAGGATGAAATTCCTACAATCCCAGGAATTGACCGCTGCAACATCGGTCAATAAAGAATCTTAACAGCAGATTTCAAGAATGCATTTGTACAGGAGGATGCCATCTAAAGGCATAATCTAAACCTCCTAATTTTTAAAAAACAATAAATTTCATTAATATTTCTTAAATGGCAAGTTTTAAGGTTTCAACTGCTATGAATAAAAGTTTTTACTTGGTTTAATTGAATTGTTAAAAAGTTCCCTTTTTTGTGTGTGTGTGTGTGTGTATCACCCAGTATAAAAGAAATCATTAATATTATGATATACAAAATTAGAAAAGAAATATCAATACCTCATACAAAACTTGTAAATTTGCCAACTCTGAACTCAATTGTTTACATTCTTCTTCTTTTTGCAAAAATATAGCCTGAAGTCTTTGTGCAGAAATTTCCTGTTCTTGTAATACCGAATCAAGCAAATCTGTATTTTCAGTCTGAAATGTAAGTTCCTCATTTATTCTGTCTTTCTCCATTTTTTCAAAAAGGAATTTTTCATTTAGTGACTTGTTACTAAGTTCTTTCACTTGATTTTCCAAATGACTGATAATTGATTTAGCTTCTTCTAATTCACTCATCATGCTCTACAGAAATTGATTAAAATTTACAACAATTATTAAAATTATTTTCCTTTTAAAAAGTAAGAAAAATACATAATCATGAAAAGACAGAATTCAAGAAAGAACATAACAGTACAATATCTAGGTCAAACTTTATGCAATTAATATGAATTTCCTTATGCCATAGAACAGTAGTCTATAGCTTTGGAGATATATAGCCGATCTTATGAACACATCTGCTGTTAAAAAAAGAGATATAATGAAAAGGAGACTTGTCGCTCTGTTTGCATGGTGTGCATGGCTGAGGTAATGTGGAAGAATTTCCTGCATTCGTACAATTAGCAAATTTAGTTTGCCAGTCAACAGCTGGTCAGTTTTGTGATGTATCTTGTTTTATGTATTACATAAGAACTTGGATATATACTTTCCCTCAGTCAATCACTAGCCAGTTAGCTGCATATACAGCTGTACAGTTCATTTTACTTCACAGATGGAGATAATCTAATGAACAGCTTATGAAGCCTGTTTATTTTATTGTCTGCATGCCTGCACATATGTATGTTCATTTTCATTTTGTTAAAAATATTTCCGGCCCATTAGCTACTTTGAGATCATGCATAGTCAGAGAACATGCAATTTAAGTCTGAGACTACTGCTGCAGAATATTGTAGTATATGAAATATGATCAGTTTCTGTACATAGTCAACTTCTGATTTACCAATGGAAATACCAGGGATTATGTCCAATGTTGAAATCAAAATCACATTTAATCTAAAGGCTGTTAATAAGAAAGAGGAATAACCCATATTATCATTAACATAAAAATATTACTAATAATATACCAACATTTTCAAGCAGTTTTACCTAGAGAATAAGATACATAGATAGGCAAGTAAAAAATTATCTGCACTTTTGTCATAACTTTTCTTACATTGTGCCCTTTGTCTTCTGTCCTCGCATATTTTATTGTTATACTGTTGTGGTAATGTTGTAAAAGTTTGATCTTAATTCCTCCATTTTTCTTCCTTCTGTTCCAGATATATCATGGCTGCTCCATTAAAAGTTTGCACCAAAGAGGAACAACGAGCAGTGATCCGATTGCTCTGGTCGGAGGGTTTCAAAAGGACAGACATTCATCCCAGATTATCATCACAATATGAGAGAAGTGCACTATCATATCATGTAAAACTGTATTTTGACAAAGTGTTGACAAACCCTAACACGAGTGAGCTTATGTTCTGCAGTAAGCTTTCTTGGTACCCACCATGCACAGACTTTATGGTAACCGAGCTTCTTGTGAATGATTTGAAGAGCAGCGCCATGACCAATATTCAAAGCAGATGCTACCTCATCGACAGTGATTTGCTTATTCATGTCTGACCCTTTGACACCCTCCAACCACAGGAATCGGATCACTGCTCGTTGTTCCTCTTTGGTGCAAACTTCCAGTGGAGCAACCATTATATATCTGCAACAGAAAGAAGAAAAATGGAGGAATTAAGACCAAACTTTCACAGCATTACTACAAAAGTTTAATAATAAAATATGCGAGGACAGAAGACAAAGTGTGCAATCACAGAAAAGTTATGACAAAAGTGTAGATCATTTTTGACTTGCCCTCGTAATTTGGTTATGAAACAAAATTAGTAATTAAATAAGACAGAAAAAAGGGGGGAAGGATAGCTGTAAATAAAAGAAGAATAAATATTAGGCATGAAGAAACTTAGTTGTAAATGCATTAAAGAACAATGTTTACAAGAGAATGTGCGCAATGACATCGATTCAAACTAACATAAAAAAGCCAATTAGAACTTTTTGTTTTGGAATAGAGTTCATTTCACAGCAGTTATCTCATGCATATTCCTTTCCCTTTCATATTTTTCATGTACAGTTTTCATGTATGTTGATAATTTGTAATAACAATTTTTCAGTCAAACTGTAATAAACAATTTTACCCACCATTACTCATAGTTATTATTAACTCTATTCACAGTCATTCAAGAGTCAACAGTATCTGTCATTGATGACAGCTAAAGTCATAAAACAGTTTTAGGCAAAGAAGCAATCCATGCAAGGTTCACCAGAAGCTGATCTATAAAAGTCATGAAATATATATATATTTTAATGTTACAACAGCATTTCCCAAGCTTTAGCATCAGGAACCACATGCACGTAATTGCAACTTATCATGATTCATGCATACAGAATTTCTCTCAAATGAAGGAAAAAAGAAGAAAAATACAGCAGTAATTTTCTACAGAATATATATAAGTATTAACTCATTCATAACTATGAAGTGTACATGATTACCAACAGGGTTGCCACTGAAACAGGAGAATGAAATTCCCTAACATTTCCAGGTGTGTTTCAAGAAAATTCCACTCTATCCGTGTAGTGCGTGTTGGCTGTGCTGAGAAGTAAATTAATTAATGTACCAATTGAAAACTCACAAATTTGACAATTACATAAAACTTAAATATATATATGCAATGATAGCACAAATTTTGGAAGCACTATGTGCAGAAATGTTGATTGCGTAGAAATACTTGATGCTTAGAGCGTCCGTCCATTTTTGAAGAAACAGCAGTCAAGCTGGATTAAATTCCTTTTATTTATTTAAATTCCCATTTTGTGGCCACAATTCACTTGGCACTCTACTCGTGCCTATTAAAAAACATTTACAATTTTGATATTATTGCCATAGAAGCGAATGTAGCAGCACACACGATTGCAGAAAGGCATCTGGCCAAGAAGAAAGAACAAGCCAAAGTGATGTATCAGTTCATAGAAGGGAGTCAAAAAGTTTCAGTTTTTTAGTTTTGGTTTACAATTTGGTGATTGGTCAAAAGGCATATGCATTAAGGGTTATGAAAGATCACATGATTACTTTGAATGATGCAGTTTAGACTTACAACAATATTTTTAGGACAAATAGATGAAGTTCATAAATGAAATAAAAGAGGTTATAGTGAATTAAATTTAGAAGTTTGCTTTCATATTTTTTCTTACATACATATATATATAATCCTGAAAGTATTACTATTATAACTATAATAGGAGTTATTTTCTCTACTGAAGATTGAGAATAGAATCTGCCCAATTTGCATTAAAAAAAGTTTTTTTTTCCAGACATTTTGCAGCTAAACGAAAGAAAGAAATCTATTTATTGATAATCTAAACGAGAGAAATCTATTTAATGATATTTTTAAATAAATTCAGGTATTTTGCATTTTTTTAGTAGCATAAATAAGCAAAAAATATGCAAATTAAATTTCATGATAGTATGACATCATACTGCTAGAATTAGTTTCAAGAATATGGCACAAAAATTGCCTGAAATTTGAAAGTATTATTAATTAATAATAAATAAAACTTAGAAGGAAGAAGCCACATTAAATGATAGGAATAACATAAATATAAATAAATTAAAAACTGAATTACAATAATCAACGATATTTTGATGAATAGAATTATATTAAATGATTAGTCTAGATCAGCAGTTCTCAACCTTTTGACTAACGCATACCATCTAAACAAAAAATTGAAAACCTTTAGTACCACCACTACAAAGTCCTACTACCACCACCACTCTTGAACAAAGCTCAGATAGCATAAATTTCCAAGTGTTAGAGAAAAAACTCAATCAGGATGTTGGGGTTTTTAATTTTAGAATTTAATAGTTAAAAATACTTTGCTTCTTTGTGTACAACCAGTTGAGAACCCTGTCTAGATGACTAATTACTATTTTTTATTTTACTGCAAAATAAAAAATAAAGCATTTAAAATTACTGCACATCATAATGTCGCCAAATCCCGTGTGTACCACATACCATTATTAAATCGATTTTGTTTTATATGAGAATGGGAAGGTATTTTCTTTCGTTCAACATGCACTGCACATGTGCAAGTGAATCTCTTAATTCTCGAGGTTGTTTTGCCCTTTCTTAAAGATAATCTAATTGGAGCCAAGAAAATTGGCTCTATGCCAGCTGCCCGAATGACGCTCATGCAATTCATAATTCGGCAAGAAAGTGATTGCTTCCAACATTGGCATAAAAATCGTTTTTGGGGGGATCGCTGTAAGAAATTCTCTGACTTTTCCAGAATTTGACTAAAATATTTAAACTCCCTGATCTTTTTAGTCAATTTTCAAATTCCCTGATTTTTCCCGGTTTTTCAGGTAGTGTGGCAACCCTGTACCAAGTAAAAAAATTTAAAATTTGCATGAGCCAACAAAAATTGGGACCTGCCCCACTGCTGAGGAGCTACTGTATTTATAGCCTCAAGCATAAAAATAAGAGTTAATTATTATTATAAAAATAAGTTATCTGTTATTATTTATTATATAATAGCATTAAAGACAAAAATTATTTTGAAAAAATTACTTCTGTGAAACTTTTGGCATTTATAAGTTCCCTTTTCAGCTCGTCATATTCTTCTGTTTTTAAACTCAGCTGAATTTGAAGATCTTCAACAGAAGAAGTTAATTCCTCTAATCTTTTATTCTGAATGAATGTCTTCTCAGTTTCAGAGGTAATGGAATTCAAAAGCCTCTCCTCTTCTATTTGCAGTTGTTTCAACTCTTCTTCTAATGTTCTTTTGCTTGTCTCAACCATTTTTATGCAAGTTTCAAGAAAATTTATCTTCAATTTAACTTCAGTAGTGTCAGATTGTAGTTGTTTGATTTCATTCTAGTAAAATATTAGAATAAAAATAATAATTAGAAATGCAAGACAAAATATTTAGAAAATTAATTAAGCATCAAAATTTAATCATGGGATGTGAGAGGACTTAGATTTTTGTTGAATGTTAATTTTACTTCAAATTGAAGATACTGCATGTACACTTGTATGCAAAATTAAGAAAATTTGCATATTATGTCGAAATTTCGGAAAAACTAATGGACAGGTTTTAATGAAATTTGGTATAAATATACATTTGTAACAGAGAAATAGATGTACAATTCAAAAGTAATTTTACGTATGCATCATTATCAGTAAAGCTAAACATCCTGGCAAATGTGAGAAAGGATATAGAAGGGAGCAATTTGTGATAACGAACTGAAAATGAGTCTAATATGAGGCAAGATTCCATCTCACAACCAGATATGTCATGAAGTACGACAGCATACTGACAGGAGGTATGTAAGGAGTCCCTGTGTCCGAGGGAGTTGGAGAAGTTAAATTGCTCTCTCAAGAATGGTCCAGACATGCTCTCTAGGGTTATGGTCAGGAGATCTGGCTGGCCAATTCATGCAGACTATCCTCACTTTCCAGGTAGCCATCGATCAGCTGAATCATATGTGGACAAGCGTTGCTATCCATAAACAGAAACCCAGGACAAATTGCACCCTTGGAAAGTCAAACATAGAGCTCAAAGATCTCCTCTCTATACTCCATAGCAGTCAGGGAACCTTTGTCAAACATATGCAGGAGTGTGAGGCCATCCAACATAATGACTGCCCAAACCCACTACGCCTCCACCACAACAATGATCTTTTTCTGATGAGAGACGGTATTGTGTTCAAAGCTCTCTCCAGATACAAGTATGCAGAGAATCAGTGTCCAGACCAAATCTCGAGCCATTTGTGTAAAAAGCACAGCACTCCATTGAAATCTGGTCCAAGGTCCATATTGTCTGCACACTGCTAAACACACTCTCTTAAGTGCTACAATGAGTGGGATGTAAACAGCAGGTCTTTTAGTATTCAGCCCTATATCATGAAGCCTTCGGGAAACAGCAGACTGTGAAATTTGGGTTCCAGTGCCAGCATACAGCTCACGTGAGAGCTGTGAAACTGTGTCACTGCACTGAAAGTGAGAAGTGAAAATCCTGTGTTATTGTGGATCTTGGTTGACCTGGTTCAAGTCTTCTCATTATGGATCATGTTCTGAAATTATTTCCACAAACTGAAGACGACACCTGGTGTTGCACTAAGCTCTGTAGCCACTTGTGCTTGTGATTGGCCTGCCTCCAATCTACTGACAATTCTTTATCTCATTTCACCATCCATATGTTTGTGGTTACTCATTTTACCCGATACCTTACAAACTGTACCCAACTCTTACGAGAAACAAGTCAAATGTCATAAAGAAGTATATCACAATATCGAACACAAGTCATTGAACATGCGTCATGCATTGATATCTCCTCCGTGTAGATTTATTTATTTGAATTTGAATATTTATACAATTCTTCAGCGGCATAATTAGTACCTTAGGTTCAATTCTTTTTATAAAAAGAGATATATAATTTGATAATTCTGTTACTTTCGCATATGAGTTTATTATAAACTGCAAATTTAATGTTTTATAAAAAAGGGTCATAAAAAAAAATGAGTTAAATTGCTCAGTTATTTTCATGTCTGAGATGCATTTGAAGTAAAATAATATATCTATTCCTTTCTAAATTCTTTAAAAATAATATATATTATTTTACTTTTAGTTGCATATTAATTAATCTATTTCACAGTACAGAGATGCATAAAAATTATGAAAAGAATGAATAAACAGGATTGCTTTAAATATATGAATAAATAATAATTTATAGTGTAGTATCTATTCTTAATTTAATGTTGTATGCAATAATCTGCTACAAAGACTGGTATTTCTCAATACAACACCAATTTTTTCCACATATTCCGACTAAGTAAATCAGTTTATGTTGCAAAACAGTAATGTTATTTCAAATTTTCTATGTGCTTAACATAAAAATCACATGAGCAATAAAATCACACGAAAAAAAAATGTGAGATTCAACTGAAACTTCATATTGAGAAAGTCCTCATAAGTGACAGAAAAGAATATAATTTATATATAATGTAAATTTCCATCGGAGTCATGTCATCAAGAAAGCACTTAAAAAGATTTTGAAATACATGCATCACACAGATTTTAGATTAAATATATTCCATTGCCTCAAAACATAAGAAAGCAGAGATGACTTTTGAAAAAAATGCTAGATCATTAGAAGGAATTTTGTAATATTTGCAATAGGTAGGTTTGTTAATAAGGAAATGAATATCTATTAGTAGATGTAAATCTGATGCAAAACTCTGACATGATGTGCCATTCTAGAAAGACTGAATTAGGCATTCTATCATACAGCAGACAGCGAAACCACATTTCAAACATTTACTGTATATAATTGCATAAATTTGTCAGTATAAACAAAAATTTATCGTAAATCAAAATAAATATAGGAAAAGATTTTTTATGTGGTTAGGCTGTCATTTCTGACATACTTTTAATAAAAAATTTTTTTAAGATATGCTCAGCAGCCATTTCATTTTGATTATGTGTTTATTACATCATTTGCAATACCATACCTGCCAACCTCTAAAGATAAAAATTCAGAAGATTTCTCCCCCAAATTCAGAAGATTTCTCCAAAATTCAGAAGAACACGAAGAATTAATATCATGCTTTGATATTAAAAAAATAACAATTTATACAAATAGAAAAAAGAAAATTGTACTTACATTAGTAAATCTCAATTAAGTAGTAACTAAAAATTTTATTAGGAAACATAAAACAAGAACTTAATGTTACACAAAAAAAATTATTGCAATGAATTTAGAGTGCATTTTTTGGCTTTAGCCAAAAATTCTTTGGAAAATTTCCTGTCATAACAATTAGTTTCCTCATAACATTTAGCAATTAAAATGTTTTCTAGAGTTTTTTGGTGAAATTGAAGAACGAAACATAGTTTTGTTTTTCTTCACAACACTGAAGACTCTCTCGCACTCAGCATTACTGTGTGGAATTACGAGAATAGCACATAAAACTCTTGCTAGTCTATCATATTTTGGTGTTCCATCAGCTCTTTTTATTCTTTATAAGGTACCAACGAGGACATCAAGTCTATCTTCTCCAGAACTGGCAAAGTCTTCAAACTGTGCAGCAGAAAATTGGTTCTGTAGTTCATCTAAAGCATCATTATGGCATTCATTTTCTTAAATTGTTAACAAAAATGGAAATTTATCAATAAAAAAACGAATCTTTTCAAAAGATGAATTTTCAATTTGTTTCAAATTTGCCACTTCAGCATTTAAAAGAACTTCATTTTGCAAAGGAAACTTCCTTACAATGTAATCACAGGCTGAGGAAAAGTACTTTCTAACACATTGAAAAAATTCTTTTTTCTCATGATCTTTCAAAGAATTTACAAGTTCCCTGGTTTGATTTCCAATTATAAGATCATTGTCCATATTTGATTTGCCAAACTATTATAGGCAACACGAATCAACACACTGTTTTTCACAACGGACGGTTTTACAAACTTAGTTTAAAAGTTCTTTCAAAAGATCATTAAGAATTTGGATAAGCAGGGCAGATTTTGGCGAAGCTGATTGTAGAAGGGTATTTACACTTTCAAAAATCTTAATGGTACTTAACACAAAACTACAATATGCTTTGTTCAAATCCGAAGAAAGAAGATAGAAAATCCTTTCCTCCCGGCTAATAGAAGACTGTTTCTTCTTCCCTTCAACTTCTTTAACAAAGTTGACCTTTGAGGAGTCTTCTAAGCATTTTCTTTTTAAAGGGTTTGATTGATTAGAAGCAAAGTTGGTTTTCGGAATCTTATATGCCGACAAATTTGATGGGATCTGTGGTTTCGTTTTGGTCTCTTCGTGGAAATATTTTAGCAATGCATCCCACTGTTCAATAAACCTTCCTAGCGCTCTGCCTAAGGATAACCATCTCGTGCATACATGTTTCAGAATTTTTCTCGTTTCACCAGAGCACAGTTCTTGGAAATTCTTTAGGTTTTCTTTCCTTTTTACACTTTTTTCCAGATAGAAAAACACATCAATCAGAAGCTGGTCAATATTTAATGGTAAAGCAGCTGCAGCTTTTTCTGCTGCCAAATTAATTAAGTGGCATGGGCATCCAATAACAATTAATTCATTTTGTTCTTTTTTGAGGAAAGAGGCTACACCCTTTTTGTCACCCACCATGACATGAGCATTATCTGCACCAAATGAAATGCAGTTTGATATTGGAATGTTAAGTTGTTTCAACTCATTAATTACCAAGGAGGAAATATTTTCCCCCATAGCGTCTCCATTTAACAATGGAAGACGCAAAAGATGAGTTTTCATTTCATTAGAAACATCACAGAAATATGTGAGAAAGATGAGGTAAAGCTTCCAATCACTGTCGTTGATTGACACCGAAAATGCTTTCTGGAGTGCAACTATCGTTTTACTTTGTGCATCGCAAGCAATTTCATTCACAATAGAAGATGTTTTCGTGCGAGCACAAGCATATTTCTGAGCAATCTTGGAGTCAGGAAACATCCGTCTGAAAAGTTGACCGGCGTGATCGGCAGCGCTTAGCGGCACGTTGTGTTCGATGAGGAATGCAGTAAACAAACACTCTGCCAAAATGACATCGGCATCCGAATTCGTAGCCGAATTTGAAAAAAAAATCATCCACTTTCTTTGACGTTGTCGAAGCCGAAGCATTAACTTCATGCTTTTTAGACTTAACATGCTTCACAATGTCGCTTCTTCCACCGTGACTTATTATGAAGTCACACACGCACACGTTGCAAAATGCATAGTTATTTCCTTTGAAGGATTCTTTAATTGTTGGAAATTCGGCTTTGTAGGCAGGCCGAAAATATTGAGAATACGGTTTTTTTGAACTCATTTCGTAACAACGACGTATTAAGAAAATTCGTAGCACGTGCAAACAAACAAACAAAAAAAAAAAAAAAAAAAAAGCGACAATCCACGCTCGCTGAGTCCGAGCTGAGTAATTCCCTTGCTGCTGAAGCGAACGCGAAAAAAATAATCTGGCGCCCACAAAGAAAAGAGTGGGAGAAACAAGTTCAGCGCATTGGATTGGCTGGTTAAGCGGCGAGTTGGGAGAAACCGCAGGTTACTGGATTCGAAGTAGTCGGTAGTTGGCGGTAAAACACGATGCAATTGGCGAAAAATTCTAAAATTTCGACAAAAATCACTAAAAACACTTGAAAAAGGAAAAAAATCGTAAAAAATGGATTACGATCGTAAAATCGTAAAGACAAACGCATTTTCGTAAAAATTACGAAAAATTCGTAAAAGTTGGCAGGTATGCAATACTGAAAACACCATCTGTCAAGATCTTAGTATTGCGATTTTCTTTTTACTTAAGAGGCAACAGTAAAAGAATTTTGAATAAAAAATAAACGTCAGAGGTTTTTGAGATAAACATCATTTGATTTGAGTTTTGAAAAAAAAAAAAAAAAAAACTCATTATCATTTGTTTTACTTCTGCTTTCTCATTAATAAAATTATTCAAAGAAGTTTGTTCTCTACAGTATACGGTTAATATATTTGCCCTTAATCAACAAACCTACCGTGTTTTTGCCAATTTCAAGACTTACTTTTGAAGCTGATATTATGTTTTATGATGAATTTTTCTGACTATAACTGGAATCTTGAATTCCGACATAAGAATCAGAGTTGCTCTTTTGCCTCCAAACTCCAATTCTCTTCTTTAAAAATAAATTAAGAAGTAAACAAAATGTTGAGTGCATATTACGTCTAGTATTCTTTTGCCATGTTCAGCAAAACAATTAAAAAAACATTCAATCAAGAGCAAAGACTTTTAGAAACATGGCCTACTCTACCAACAATGCAATATATGCATTTTCACATAGTGGCCCAGCCCTGCATGGAAGTATCTATATACCTCGAATATAGAATGATGAAGCTGATATAAACATCAATCCCATTTCCCTTGTACATGATCAGAAAAAGAAAATTAGCGATAACTTTAAAATTATTTCTAAGCATGTATAGGACCACTGAATCCAAAGATCATGACATTATGTTTGAAGATTTTTTTGAAGAAATCAAAGAATCTAATATTCAGCTATCAAGGGAGGGAACTGTGATATTTTCCAAGTTATATAAAAGTCTATAACTCGATGAAATTATAATTAAAGGTAAATGCATTTATGCTAGTCAGGCTGTGACTATAACAACCAAAAAAGGAAATATTCTTCACCACTAGGAAAACATTCTAAAAGAAGAGAGTCATTACCCAAATTTCAACAAAGGATTACTTCTTACCTTCAGGAAAATTTTCATTGGAACAAAACAATCTAAATGAATAATGATGTTACAAATTATGCATTTTTGTGATTAAATTATTAAATACCAAATATTAAATATCAAACTAAAATAAATCTTTATACAACACTTATTAGACCATTCATACTCTATGGTAGTGAATGCTGGCCTTTAATAAAAAAGGATAAAAGGCTTAAGTTTAAAATGAAAACACTCCAAAAAATATGCGGTCCAGTTACACAAAATAATGCATTGAATTTTGTTTAAAGACGAAATCTTCAGAAGATACAAATAACATAATAATGTCCAAGTCAATACATCACACCGTATCAGGTGGCTTGGATATAATTTTAGATTTGACAACTTGAACCCTGTTAAAAAGATGACCACTGCAAATGTGAAGGGTACCAGGAAAAGAGAAAAACCTCCCAAGAGGTGGATAGACTGTAGGGAAGTACTTCTCAAGTCTTTAAAAATCAGTTGTTAGCAGACTGTAGCAAATGTGAAGGGTACCAGGAAAAGAGAAAAACCTCCCAAGAGGTGGATAGACTGTAGGGAAGTACTTCTCAAGTCTTTAAAAATCAGTTGTTAGCAGACTGTAGCAACTAACAATATTGATAGAGGAAGCTTGTTGCCACAACCTTCGCCTGTAACAGGCTGTAGTGCAACTAAAGAAGAAGGAGGAATATAAGATGAAAATAAATGGAAGTATCTCAGTTGAAACAGGAGAGTTAGCAGCTTTCTATTCACATATATTTTTCTACAACTGAATCCACGGTAACTTTTTTAACTCATGTCAAAAATATTCCTAAAAATACATAATGATGATGTAGTCCTCTAAACAATAACCTAAATAGAAAAGAGATTATTGAACAAATGTTTTAAATTTTAAGTCCAAATTTCTGGATTCCAGGCATGAATTTTGAATTGCCTAATTCTCAGCATTCAAACAGAAATGCAAGACATTTATGCAAACTTATGTTTTCAGTTGCTTCTTTTGTTTGCATATTGAGCAGCAATTGCTGTGATGTTAGCTTAAAATTTTACTTGATTATAATTATTGCTTATGTATTACATTTTAGAATGCAGAAATTGTTGCAAAACAAGTGCTACAAAACAACACCTTGCTTTAAAACACATTTAAATATATAATATGAATTATATTAATTTTTGAATGACAGATAAAAATAATAGAAATCAATATACCTTATGCATCTCTTTTAAATTTGATATTTCCTGCCTTAGATGTTCTAATTCTTCAGTTTTTAAGGAAAGGATTTCTCCAGCTTCATTCAATGCAGTATTTAGCTCCTTAATGTTGGACTGCAGAGTTAGAACCTTACCACCTTCAACAGCAACTTGGTTTAGAACTTCCTCCTTCTCTTTCTCCAGGAGTTCAATTTTCTCCTTTAACGTGGCTTCATTCAAAGAATATTCTTCAATTTTGTCTTCCAGAGTTTTGCTTTCTCCCACAGCAGCAGCAACTACATCTTCTAATTCTCGGACTTTGTTCTGTTTAGGAAAAAAAACGGCAGACAACAATAGATCAAAATACATCATAAAGAAAATGGGATATTTGGGCTCTATATGTCCCATTTCTAAAAATCGTTACCAGCTGGAATCTTACAAATTTCCAACTTTCACGGTGCACTCTTAAAATGTGGCATTTAAAATCTTCTAACATATTTTCTACAATAGATTATCACCCTACACATGTACAGTTATTGGCAGCTGCCAGTGTGGAATTCCAGCCAAAAAATCAACAATCATCAAATTCAACCAGTTTAACAAATTTTAGAAAAATACCGAGTATCACATTGATACTTTTCACCTTTTTATTGATTTGAAGGCTACCTATGATAGCATATATCTTGAAAAGATGTTTGAAGCTACACTTAAATTCAGATTTTCTAAAAAATTAGTTGATCTAGCTAGAGTGATTTTAAAGACAGTACATTGCAGAGATAAAACCACGTCTGATTTATCAGAGGCATTCTACACCAAAAAATTCTACACCGGGTTGAGAAAAATGTGATGCCCTTGCACAGCTTCTTTTTGATATCGCCCTTTAAAACGCTCTTACAGACATCGGAATTATATCTAGAAGCACCGATTTTTAGACAGAATTTTCTATACACTTACTAGAGTACACTGATGACATCAACCTTATTGCAGAAGTACACAGGTGGTTGCAGAGGCTTTTACTTCCCTACAGCAGATAGAGAAACAAATTGCCATTAAGGAGAGTAATACAAAATTTATGAAAGCAATAAGTAGAGCACAGAACTCTCTTCTACTGCAAATAAACTTAATATTTTTAAACACATTGCTCCGTTTATATATCTTGGTGCTATCATCTAAAATAAAAATATTAAACTTGAAATTGACAATAGATTATTTAAAGTTAATTGATGTTCTAAAGAAATATGTCTAAATTGTTATATATCAAACTAAAATAAATCTTTATATAAGTCTTAGACTTGTCATATTCTATGGTAGTCAATGCTGGCCCTTAAAAGTAACAGATAAAAATCTAATGTTTCAAGCAAAAATACTCCAAAAGGTATACAACCCAGTAACAGAAAATAATACATTAAGAAATTTCTTTAACCATGAAATCTACAGAACATACAAACTACCTAAAATTGTCCAAGACATCAGATCTTATTGTATGAGGTGGCTTGGATATATTTTTAGATTTGACAACTTGAACCCTGCAAATGACCACTGCAAATGTAGATGGTACCAGGAAAAGAGGAAAACCTCACAAGAGATGGAAAGTGTAGGGAAGCAAATCTCAAGTCTTTAAAAATCAGTTGTTAGCAGACTGTAGCAACTGACAATATCCGATAGAGGAAACTTGTTGCGACAGCCTTCACCTGTAATAGGCTGTAGTACAACTAAAGAAGGAGGAATATAAGATGAAAAAATGAAAGTATCTTATTGAAACATGAAGCAGCTTTCTATTCGTATATATTTTTCCACAGTTGAATCCATTGTAACGTTATCAACTCACTTCATAACTATTCCAAAAAATGCATTAAAAGCATATAGTTCTGTCATCAATAAACTAAACAGAACAGACACTATTGAACGGGTGTTTTAGCAAAGCAGTCGTCAACCCTTAGAACTTCACGGACCTCTACATATATAAATTTATATTTGTCGGACCACTTATATGAATTATTAAAACAAAAACCCTTAAATCAGACCTTAAAAACAATATATTAACACGCAAAAACAATATTCAACATTCCAATACATATAAATCTAATTTTCATTTGTTAATATAATTTTTGGAACATTTGGTGTTCAGCAGCATGCCTTTATAGAAATTCAGGCTATGCCCTTGATTATGAGTAACAATTAAAACACTATTAACTTCTCACTGATACACATATTTTGTTCACATTGAAAAATTATATGAAAAGTAAAAAGTCTTACCTTCTTGTACAGAAAGCTTTACATTTCCATATCACTGAAAAGGAACTTAACGAAAAGCAAGCACAAAATGGCAAACGCAAAGCAATATCAATAAACTGAAAGTGTTATGCCGCCAATTTTTAATTCTTGTAAACATAATAATCATCACTTATTGCACAATAGCGCCATCGATCAACAGTTAGGCAAAACAAAAACGGAAACTTCCAGTGATGCAATTATAAACAAGAATGCAGATGGTTCTCATAAAAATCCATTAAGGTGCCTATTGATGAGAAAATTGTGTTATTAACGACTACAATAGCATATGCTTGTAATTCATAAGGAAAGAGAAATCCATTATTGATAACAGCATACCCTGAATACCAACTCTCCCTTTCAAATGTGCACCAGCAAAAATGGCTAAAAAGTAACTAAATTCAGGAGGAAGTTTGCTAAAATTAGTAGCTAAAATTAAACAATAATAATAATAATAATAAAAGTATAATCCATACTCCATAAGAGGTTTTGTTACTCGTCATTTTTGAAACCGAATCTTCATAAAAATATAAATACTACCCAATTTTTCTGTGGACTATCAAAATGTTTTTACGGACCACCGGTTGGCGACCACTGTTTTTGTATTTTAGCACCTAAATTTCTGGCTTCTAGGCGTGAATTTGAAATTAATAATTCTCAGCAATCAATAAGAAATGAAAGATATTTATGTAAAGTATGTTTTCAGTTGCTTCTTTTGTTTCCATATTTGGCAGAAATTTCAGTGATTTTAGATTAAAAGATTACCTGATTAAAATTATTGCTTATACACTGCACTTTAAAATGCAGAAACTGTTGCAAAATTAACACTACAAAACAAAACCCTGCTTTAAAACCCATTCAAATACATAATCTGAATTATACTAATTTTTGAATAAAAGATAATGATAACAGAAATCAATATACCTCATGCATTTCTTTTAAATTTGCTATTTCCTGGCTTAGATGTTCTAATTCTTCAGTTTTTAAGGAGAGGACTTCTCGAGCTTCATTCAATGCAGTATTCAGCTCCTTAATGTTGTACTCCAGAGTTAGAACCTTATCACCTTCAACAACAGCTTCGTTTAGAACTTCCTCCTTCTCTTTCTCCAGGAGTTCAATTTTCTCCTTTAACATAGCTTCATTCAAAGAATATTCTTCAATTTTGGCTTCTAGAGTTTTGCTTTCTCCCACAGTCGCAGCAACTACATCTTCTAACTGTCGGATTTTGTTCTGTTTGTAAAAAAATGATAGACAGTAATAGATCAAAATATTTCATTATGAAAATGATAATTTTTTTAAATGCAGCATATGGCCTCCATATGTAATATTTTAAAAAAGGATACAGGATCAACTGTTACATTAAGTAGCCCACACAACCCACTCCCACTGTAAATAAATTCTTTTACTTTTGAAGACGTTGCTCAGTTTCCGTATCTCGATGCTTTCATCACTAATAAAAATATTAAACAGACAATAGATATGACTCTCTTAAATGTGGTCTTTAAAATCTTCTTCCATGTTTAATACAGGGCATATCAGTACAGCGGTGACAAACTTCCAGAAGACATAGAGTATACCTAGACAGGAAATCCCATAACAATACATGGTCGCGAACACTTTACTGGTGTGGTTGTGATGACAAATAAGTCAAGAAATAAAGGAGATGAATAGGGAGTGAAAACATGATTATTATTCGGAGCACAGCAAAAACTAACACAAAGAGATATTGATTGTCATTAAAGAAGGTGTTTGGAATTATGACCCGCACTGTGATGCCAGAACCTTGCATCATGCATCTTGAATGTGATTTTCCATTCGTGATGCAGATCTTCCATGCACCAGAGAAGTGAGGCCTGCATCACAGTCCAGGGTCGTAATTTTGAACACCTTCTTTTAACATAATAAAACATCTTTTTTTCTAACTGTTTCTGTCTTCCCTTTTTGCGTTTTGACTACTGTGGCAGTAAAGCATTTGCAACCATGCATTGGTATGTGATTTCCCATCATCTAGGCATATTCCATCTGTCCTGAAATTTTGTCTCCACTGTACTGACACACTCTGTATAATAGGTTATAACTGTAAGCATCTACAGTTATTGTTAGCTAACAACATGCATTTCAAGCCAGAAAATTTACTGTTCATTAATTCGCTCAATTAGTCAATTTTTCAGAAAAAAATACTGAATATCACATTGATACCTTTCACCTTTTTGTTGATTTGAACACTGCCTATGAAAGCATATACCGCAAAAATATGTTTGAAGCTATGATTAAATGCAGATTTCCTAGAAAATATGTAGAAAATATGTTGATCTATATAGAGTGATTAGACAATGTAATGCCGTTGCATGGCTTCTTTTTGATATTGCCGTTTAAAAGGCTCTTACAAATTTCAGAATTCTAACTAGAGGCACCAATTTTCAGAGATCTATACAGTTACTAGAGCACACTGAGGACATCAACATTATCACAGAAGTACACAGGCAGTTCTGAACATTTTTACTTCCCTACGGTCGGCAGATAGAGAAACAAATTGCCATTAAGAAGAGTAATATAAAATTTATAAGTAGAGCACACAACCCACTCCCACTGTAAATAAATTTTTATACTTTTGAAGACGTTGCTCAGTTTACATATCTCGGTGCTTTCACCACTAATAAAACAGGGTTTGTACACATTTCTGCACACGGAAATTAAGTACTTTTAAGGAGCATTAATGAAAAAAATTAAGGACCTATAAGCAAATGGGAACTGAATAAATTAAATTAAAAATATATTATATCTATGCCCGAACTTCACTTTTTAATACCATCCTAAAAAATAAGAGATCCGTAAGTAGGATGCATTATTATTAAACATAGCTTAATTAACATAATTATTAATATGTTGGAGAATAAAATAAATATTATGAAATTTATCAGGTAGCATTAAATGTTTTACACTTATAATAACTGGACATATTTAAAAGAAGATAAGTGGCATTTTAGTTACGTTTTAATAACAGTTAGCTTTTTTTATTTTTAATGTCTCATTTTGTCATATACTTGCTCAGTCTAGTAAATAGTAAGTAGATTTTATGTCAAGCAGCATAGGTTAAAATGAGCATTAAAATCATAATTAGCATGATTCATAACAAAAGACTGGCTGTTGTCACCGCTCCTGCTTGCCTAGAGAGAGACCAGCTGATCAGAACAAACCTGAAAGGCCTAATGTAGGCACAGTTAAATGTAAGTTTTGAAAGTTAACTGAGCTCTGTCTGACGCAGTTAGTGTCGTAGCTTCGTGTAGAGTTCCAGGGGTTGTGACTCAGTTAATATATTTTAAGGTTCTATTAAGCCACTAAAGCACTAGAGGTGATAAGTTGTTTTGCATTATTTTAAATTTCAGAAGAATAAGTTTTACATGAATTTTTATATTTTTGTGTTTTACCTTGTGACCACTGTAAAGGTTAATGAAAGCGAATAACTCGCTTTAATATGCAAAGATAATTTTTAAGGGTAAGCACTTAGTTATAAGTAATTAAATTAGGTATTAGATAACCTTAGTCATATGGATTTACATGGACACTGTCAAATTTAATTTATTTTCTAATATTATTTGTTAAAAATAACCCTATTAATATCACAATCTAATAAAATTTCACAGTTTAAAATACATGCAATTTATGACATTGATTTTTAAACAATATTACGATAATTACACATTAAACATTTATGTTTTGTAGCAACAAAAAAAAATAATTATGCGTTTTTTTAATTTAAAGCCTTCACAGATATTTTGGCTAATTTATATCAATTTCCTTCTCCTTAAGCATCTTTTTCTAACAATTAGAAATTTGTCTCAATATGCAAACCAATGTTCTCACTATTTCTGCTTTATCTCCTAACTTGACAACCTCTCCACAATGTACTTATGAGGCTTTACTTGATCTGATCAAAATTCCCTAGTTCCCCCTGACAGATGTGAAACAAATTATGGCTATGTCTGAAAGCAACTATAAATCAGAGGTTTAAATAAGCTTCTTATTTAAAAAGAACTTAGAACATAAAGGCATGTTCATATGCTAACAAAATCAATTACAGCTCTTGGTGATGTAATTAAACAAGAAAAGTCAAATTCAAACTAAAAATATGGACTAGTGGCCAAAGACAAGTGGTCAATTTAATTTCAATTTAATCTAGTTCAATAACTCTATCGTCATAACAAACTCAAATGTTAGCAGCGGTAATGTAAATTATCAGAGCTGATAGGAACTAATACAGGGAGCAAGTGGAGGTCAGAAATGCACTCTTGTCTTACACTCCAAAAACCTCAGTTTAAAAACTGTCTCAGTGATCTGCATTCTAGTGAGGAAATAGAAATGGGAAATTATAGTAAAGGCTGAAATTGTTAACAACTGGGTAATTTATTTAATAATAACTACATATATCTGAAGAATAATTTTTTTTCACATTCCCTTTTTACTTTAGAATTTTTTTATTTAATTCAAGATTTCTGTTATTCTAAAAGACAAAATGCACTTAGAATGTATGGAAAAAGCTGCTAATTTTATTTTAGTAATACGAACATTCAGAAGAAATGTGAAATACATATGATAAGGTCCAGTCACAAAGCTGCTGTGGCATAATTTTTAGAATTTAGTGACACATCGAGCAACAAAACCCAGAAATTTAGAATTTAGAGCAGGCATTGGAAGCAAAATTTAGAAAGGCACCAGGCAGCAGAATTTAGGATCCACAGAGACTGCAACAGGTGGCAAAATGCCTAGTGCCAGCCCTGTGTATGATGCATTAAGACATATTAGATGAATCTTTTGAATTGTCAGTTTTCAATTTTTTTATTAATAAAAAAATTCCTTTCTATACTTTGCCTGTCCATATGATAAGATTAGAAGCATTTTTGATATTTTCCATGCTTGTGTCAAGTGAAAAGTAGAGAAAGAGAAAACTGATGCATATTCTGAGAATTCTGAACTTTCTGAGAAATGGGAAAAACTCTTAACATGAAAAAATTAAAGACATTTTTAATTAATTACATAGCTATTTTGCTTTTGCTAAAAACTGTTTCATAAATTGTGCTTTATAGTATTATACCTTGCTTATTTTTCTGATATTATATAATATGTGGCCAAAATGTAACTTTATAATATGACAGTGAAAATAAAAATGCTTTATTTTAATGTTATTTCTTAAATATTATTCCAATACATTACCATTATTTTAATGAAATTTATCAATGTTAGAATGTTCTAAAAAAGTCGCCAAAAATTTACCATATTTTGGAATTAAAAATTTTCCATAGAAACCGATCTTAAAATCGCCAAAATGTTGATAAGTCGCTAAATTTAGAACCATTTGATAAAAGAATTCACATCCCCAAAAGCAAAAAGTTGTTTGAGAGCTCTTCATTACAAAAAATAAAATAATTTCGAAATACTTATGTTTCACTTCTTGCTCGGAAACTCGAATATCCCACCAGTCATATTACAAATAGAAAGAAATTATAACCCATGAACCCATTCAAAAAATAACCATATTTGTCAGTGAATCGCCAAAAATATTGCTGCAAAATGCAAATTCCCACTCAAAATGGCAGTCGTAAAAAGAGACAGAAATTTCAGATTATTAAAATTATTATTAAAATTAGGGACCTTCTGAAAATTTTGGCCGAAATTAAGGACTTTTAAAGACCAAAAATCGATTCCAAAAAACTTAAGGACTCTTAAGGACCGTACAGACCCTGTAAAAATATAAACTTGAAGCAGACAATAGATTATTTAGAGCTAAATTATGTTTCAAAGAATACATAATGTCTAAATTATTAAACATGTAGACTAAAATCTTTATACAACTCTTATTAGACCTATCATATTTTATGATAGTGAATTCTGGCATTTAACAAAAAAAAACAGATGAATCCAAAATACTCTGAAAAATACATGGCCCAATTACAGAAAATAATACATGGAGAATTTTGATTCACTATGAAATCTACAGAAGATACAAACAACTTAGGATTGTCAAAGTAATCAGATCTTATTTTATCAGGTAGCTTGGATATATTTTTAGATATGACACTCTGAACCCTGTTAAAAAGGTGACCTTTGCAAATGTAGAGGGTACCAGGAAAAGATGACACCGCACAATAGATGGATAGATTGTGTAGAGGGGCATCTCCAAATCTTTAAAAAAACCAGTCACTGGCAAGACCATACAAACTGATAGGAAGACTGTCGAGACAACCTTCGCCCATAATTCGCCGTCGGGCAACTGAAGAAGAAGGAGTATAAGATGAAAAAAATAGGAGTATCTCAGCAGGAACAGGAGAGTTAGCAGCTTTCTCTTCATATGTACTTTTCCACAATTGAATCCATTGTAACTTTCTTAGCACATGTCATAAATATAGTGTTATGAAATGTACAGGCGCGATAAGATGGCTTCCATGCAAAGCAGTTTTAAGGTTGCCATAAATGGCGAGGCCGGGTTGCCACAATTGGCGAGAAATCGCCTATTTGGTCACAAAATTATCAATATGCCATGGACGGAGAGAGAACCCTCTGGAACGAATTCTTACCGGTTTAACACAGAATGTTTTCGAAACAGAAGCCGAAAGCTATATAAACCCTGCTGGTCCACAGTTAGTTAGTCTGTTTCATCTGGTTAGTATCGAGCGTGTGTCTCGTCTAGCGATTTAATCCTTGCGGGGTCGATCCGAGTTGACAGCAGGGGAGCGAGTGCCGAGTGAGTCGTCGAGTTCACCGAAGGAGTCTCTTAGTGTACCGCGGTTAGTGCATCGTCGAGAGAGTGTGTTGAGCTCCAGGAACGACTGAACCGAAGAGTCAGGAGCCGTGCTCTGTGTGTTGTCGAGTGCACCGCGAATTGTAGCGTGGAAAGTATCGAGAGTACGTGGAGTTCCGAGAACGACTGAGCAGAGTCGGGAACTGTACTCTGATGCTTTGCAGTGAAGCTGTTACCGTGATAACCTGATAACATGAAGGCTGTGTTGCTGATCGTGTCAGCGTGTTTATAGCAGTTCATCGACGACTGTAAAACGTGTTTCGGAGCTGTCCTGACAACACTGGCAAATAAAGTGTGTTTCAATACTGCATCAAGTAGTGTCGTCATTATTCACTCCAAATCCACACGAACCCCGTATGAACGTGAAGGAAGAAAACATAATATGTACTTTTCTACAATTGAATCCATTGTAACTTTCTTAGCACATGTCATAAATATTAAAAAAAAATTATAAAAAAAATTATTTCTCCCATTAATAATCTAAATAGACCAGAAAGTAAAGCTGTATTCAGACGGCGGCATAAAGACCATAGGGGCATAGTCATAAGGGCATAAAATACAAGAGTTCTGTTCACACCTGCAAGACAGGAGTCTAAGCTGTGGCCAATGAAAGAAGCTAAATTTGCGCATGTGTGGATGTGTCTACACCTTTTGCGCACTGTTTTCTAGCTTGAATGATTTCCCGTGCTTCCTCTGCTTGTTTTCGTTATTTTGTGTCACGGCCTTTTCAGCTCACCACAGAGTTTTACTGGTTTAACAAATACTCTTTTATATGCCCTTCTTATAAGCCAAGAGACAACAGAAGACGGTAAAAAAAAGAAAAAAAAACAAAATGTTCTAGAGATATTTTTTTGGAAAGTACTTGGTAAGTACAAAATACTTGGTTGGCACATATTTCTGTGCAAAGCAGTATGGAATATTTCTGCATTGTACTGCAGTACTCTTTATACTATAAACATGCACATGCCTATTTATATGTAGTATCTGTAAAGGCGACACAACCACCAGAGGGCCTCACCGATGCGCCAACAGCGAGGTGAAAGATGAGTATGACATAGACAGGGAGACTTTCTTCTGCTATCCCACGCGAAGGTGGTGAGATGTCTGTCTACATGTGAAGATGTAGAATAAGAAACTGTAGTTTTCCACGCAAAGGTGGTAAATTGAACTGTATAATACATCAGCAAGTGTGAGTAGGCACTAATTGGTTAAGTGATAAGACTGGCAAAAGCTATACAGAATCCTGTTTGTATCAAACGGCACTTGTATTCAATCTAATTTGTACCTTCTTCTGTTTATCTTTATTAAATGTTCTGTGGTGTGGAAAACAACGTTGGAATTGTTATTTAGCATCTTCAACTCCCCCACTACATATATATATAAAACCTTTTTCAATTTTTATACGTAATTTCTCTTACGAGAAATACGATATTCTAAATATGCCAAATTAAAAAAAAAAATTTTGAGGATAAGTGACAGATAGAAATGTATATAATATTTTTCCATTTTGCAGATGTGAAAGCATTTAAGCGGAAAGCAGTACTTGCCGTACTTTTTTTTTTTTTTTTTTTTTTTTTTTTTTGAATTTTCCATCAAAAGGAACCTGTTTCTGTGCTTAGCACACCTTATTCACTGTCACTGTTGACCACTACAGTAGTTGGCTGCACTACCAGTATCAATTATCACTAGTACTAGTATCCCACAACTGGTCACCATAACCAGCAACCACAACTAGTACAATACTATGGAACATTTACCCAACAATGTCTTTTATGCTCAATCATTAAATACATTTTGCTGTGTTGTCAGCTGTTTGTATACATCTATTTCTAATAATTTCCATGTATAGGCCACACCCCTGAATTTCATATGCTTTTTCTGAAAAAAAGAGGGGGAGTTACACTCGAGAGACTACAGTACATAGTAAACACTAACTTTCAGGAATTTTTGTGGATAATTCTGCAAACTGATATGTTTACATCATATGAGGAATTCAAATTAAACTCTGCTCTGCTGTGAGATGTCATATATGTAAGTTTCATCCACTACTGTTGTCAGAAGTAATTACTTTTAATGATTTCTATTTACTGACAGATTGACAATTCTTCACTCACTGGCAGACATGCATATTAAAGCAACAAAAAGAGTTTAATTTCAACATATGCTGTCATTTCTATTTATGACCAATATCTCAAAAATAATTTCACATTGACAAATTTTAGTACCCAAGTCTTCTAATACAACAAAATTATAAACATTCATACCTTATCCAGGAATTTCTATCAGAGAAATAGCATGAATTTAATGATCAAAATTCCATTCAAATGATAGTAATAAAGAGTGGATAATAATAACAAATACTATTCATTAAATTTTAGTCCATGTTATGAATTATGTATGCTATTCAGTTTCACTAAGAGTAAATTCCTTTCATGGAGAACATAATTAAAAAAGAGAACAGAACATGACAAAACTGTCTAGACTGTTGACTGTTGTTTTAAGAATATTTCACTACATTTTTTTCTTATTGGAATTCAGAAAAGCATTTTCTCAAAAGATTAATCTTTTATTACTTATACAAAGCTTACACCATTAAATTGACTATTGTGATTATTCTTAAATAAGTGAAAATAATTTTCTTTTAAATATTTTTACTGTAAAAAAAAATAGCAGATTTTTTATATTGATTTGATGTTTTAGGGAAATTAATTCATGAAGTTTGTTTGGAAAGAAAATCAGCATTTGAAGGAAATAGCAATACAATATTTCCAGCGTTTTCAATAAATTTATTCTTAATACAAAATAATTAAACGGGAAAAAAATGATAGTAATAATTTTTAGACAAAATAATAAACAGAAAGAAAGTAATAATAATAATTTACTCAGAAAAATAAAAAAATTTTTTGCAAGCATGCATTTTTTAAAGAATTTTCATAATAAAATGAAAACTAATGGATCGGATCAATCATCTACAGGATCATACACAGCATGCATGATCCAGAGCTTAACTTTCGCTTTACGAGTTTCCTCCATATTTTTTAATTTATTGTGAAAACTCATTAAAAAATGCATGTCATCATCATAGATTTCTTGTGAGATCAACTTATTATTTCGTTCGGATACGATTACAACTCATTCGGATACGACGTGCTCCATATTTAAAAAAATGATGCCTTCGAAGTAACAGCGAAATCGTCTAAACAAAGTCGCTTCGTTCTGATTGGTCGGCGCTTATTCCAAACTCGCCGTGAAGTTTAAAACTGCAAACCTTGTGCCACGAGCCTTAAACCAGATTATGTGACGTAGCACAGACTGGTTGCATAGGTAACGCAGCTCGGCTTTAACCACTTATGCCCTTTATGCCCCCATGTGAACATAGCCTAATGAACAGGTGTTTTAGTATTTTAGTACCTAAATTTCTTGATTCTCCGTCTGAATTTTAAATTACCTAATCTCAGCAATCAATGAGAAATGGAAGATATTTATGTAAAGTATTTTTCAGTGCTCTTGTTGCTATTAGCGCATTGCGTGTTATAAAATTCATGATTTATTTGCTATACTTCCTTTAACCTCCGAACGGATACAGCAGTTGTACAAGGAGAATGACTTTCTCAGACGCCGGCATTGGTACAACTGTCGTACCATCCATGCCCTCCCCATTTTAGAGAATCGCCTATCTGTAGATCTTTGGGTGGTCCATTGTCGCTGCTCAGAGTAGCCGCTGGCTACGCATTATTTCCCTCTTCTTATCAGTTTAGCTACATTTTGGCAAAAACCGCAGGTTTCGTCTCGCGCCAATATACTTGAAAATTAAATAGAGGCCATCTCTTTCTCAATCTGTCTCATAATTTTAATGCTATTTTTTTTAGTACTGACTTTTGCTATGATTAAAACGTCAGCGATTTTGCACGCTCTTTAAGCTTACCATATTTAATGTTCTTTAATCATAACAAATAAGAATAGATTAATATTTTAGATTTAATGCCCTTCTAGAAAATAGGTAAAACCGTTTTTATCGTTTACTCGTTTACTTCATTTTCATACTTATGAATAATAAGATTTTATTTTGACATTGTTTTTTGTGGAGTGCATAAAACCCTTAAGAACTGTCAACTCTTTCAAAGTGCTTCTATTATGCAGGCAATTTTGTCTGATTTATCAGGAGATAAATAAGAGACAATTGTATGCATAATAGTTTTTCTGATTTTCATTCATTCAGATGATTTCAATGCTGATTGCTTTCAATGATTTTCATTGATTGTAAATTAAATAAAATCAATTTATCTTTACACCCTCTTTTAGGATGAGATCTGCCAAAAAATATTTAAATATCAGTAAAGCTCACGTTACTTCTAAACTGAATCAAAACATCAGTTAAATGTTATAAAATTTTGGCCAGTTTTATTTGCTGAAATTCTTATACTCTTCAAGAGATAGAGAGAATTCAGACAAGTTGATAAAAAAATATCTTTAAAAAAGGTTGTTATTTTGTCTGTAATAAGGTGTATGTCAACTTACTACTAAATGTATGAAAATTAGGATTGGATTACGGAAAAGCACGCGAACGCTATCTGCTTAAGGGAATGGATGCTTTCGTGTAAACCTTTTTAAGAGAAAATTGCTCGCATTTACATTCCTGGTGGAAAACTCCACATGTAATCAACCCGTTCTTCGGTATTGATTGGATTAATTTGTTCGCTTACTGAATTACATCAAAGCACCCAACGATTACCTGTATAAGGGGAGTTATGTCTTCGCGGAGGACTTTCTAAGAGAAGCTGGCTTGCATTTACGTTACACAAAAACCATGACTCCAACTATTTATCCGGGATTCAAATCCAAGCGAGCTATAAGTGTTCAGCCACCTTTACCGCTTTACTGAAGAGCAGGTAAAAATATTGATAAAGGAAAAGTATTGAATTAACCGGTTTAATTTACTAACCTATATTTCTCAATCGACAGTACATAAATTACGCATATGAGGGGGATTATTTGTGAATAAATAAACTGTATTGCACTTTTATCCACTATGTCATATTACAATGGAATTATTGCATTTCAAAGTTATTTCTCATGAATTAATTTTGCTCTTCATGATTTTTGATATTTTCAAAGAGAAAATTCCACACTTTAAATAAAAATATACACGAGAAGATACTTTATGCACAATTTGGCGTAAACGGTTTTCTTAATTTTGCTTTGAAAATATTGCAGGGTAATCGTTTTCATTACTGGAAGAAATATAAAAAACAAATTTACTACATGGTATCAACACCCAATATTTCCTTATTCTTTTGAAAACGTGAAAGATTACTCTTTCTAAAATAAATTAGGAAAATATATTATGTGCAAATAGAATATTCGTTGAAAATGAAATAGACTTCAACTTTTGGATATAACGATAGTTTTAGACGAAATTTCTACCTATGGAAAGAAATTGACGTATAATTAATTCTTCATGAACATTTAAAACTGTTCTCAAAATTCTTTTGATGATTGCATGTATAAGTCACGAATTTTTTTTTTTTTTCTCGGCTAACATAAACAAAAGCCAATTTTACAAAGAAAAATTCTCGTTAAAGATATACCTTCTTTGCCTGATAGTCCAATGTAATATTTGTTAAAATTAATTATTAAACGCAACCAATGTATCTCGGATTTTGATTTTTATATTATAATAACAAAATTATCGAAAAAAGCAGATTTAAATCTCTGTTATTGTTATGTAAAGCTTTATTATTGCTGTAAGTTCATCTCAAAATCTAATTTGTATTGAATCTCATTCTAATCATCTAATGGTAATAAATATTATTATTATTATTATTTCATTAAATTAGTCATTACCATTATTTTATTAATGAAAATATGTTATTAAAAATCGCATTCCGGCCTGCAGACTTACAGATCTAGTCTATTTACTATATTTTGTTAAATTTTGTTCTTCGCTAATTTCTAATACGAAAATACGCGAATATAAATGAAGAGTGAAAACAAAGTTAAAAAATTCACAAATTATTTACGAGATTGATTAGAAATAGTGAAATGAAATATAAACATTGCATACAGTTCTTGTTCACTAATAGAAGCTTTCATTTAAATGAAAGCAAATAATCATCGAAAAAATTGCAAATCTAGCAACTCCTCTACTATGGGACGTAGGCGTCCGACAAACATGTAAATTTTACTTCATCCATGGAGGGGAACTGACGACTTTTCTCATTAGGAAAATGTCAAAGAGGGGGCAAAACTGTTTCGGATTGCCGGTCTGAAAGCTATAATATGAGAATTTCGGCCCGGTTTTAGAAGGTTAATATGGAAATTGTAAAATTGCTACAAAAGCATTTTAAAGCGTTTAAATACATAATATGAAATACTTACATAGATTAAAAATAATAGAAATTAATATACCTCATGCAATTCTTTTAAATGTGATATTTCCTGGCTTAGATGTTCCAATTTTTCAATATTTAAGGAAAGGACTTCTTGAGCTTCATTCAATGCGGTATTAAGCTCTTCAATGTTAGGACTCCAGAAATAGAACTTTGCCGCCTTACAGTAGCACTATCGTTTAGAATTTCTTCCTTTTCTTTCTCCAGAAGTTCAATTTTCTCCTTTAACATGGCTTCATTCAAAGAATATTCTTCAATTTTGTCTTCCAGAGTTTTGCTTTCTCCCACAGCCGCAGCAACTACATCTTCTAATTCTCGGACTTTGTTCTGTTTAGAAGGGGGGGAAGACAACAATAAATCAAAATACATCATTAAGAAATTGGGACATTTTCAAAAATGGGATATTTGAGCTCTATATGTTTAGAAAAAAAAAAAGACAACAATAAATCAAAATACATCATTAAAAAAATGGGACATTTTCAAAAATGGGATACTTGGACTCTATATTTCTAAAAATGGTGACAGGCTGAAATCTTACAACCATCAAGGTATTACACATATTTAAAATCTTCTAACAAATTTTCTACAAAACGTTATCACCCCACACACCTACAGTTATTGGCAGCTTCCAGTGCGGAATTCAAGCCAAAAATTTCATATTCTACAAATTCAACCAGTTTGACAAATTTTCGAAAAACTATTGAATATCACAATTGATACCTGTCTTTTTATTGATTTGAAGGCTGCCCAGGATAGCATATACAGTCAAAAGTCTTTAATCCAGACTCCTCGGGCGATTTAGGATCATTGGTTTTCCCAGATTATAGATCATCAGTTTAAATCTGATAAGATGGCATGCAGAAATTATAAAATTAAAAATATGAAACTGTAATTTATGAAATAACGAACAATTATGATCTAAAAAATATCAAAATTTACAAAAAATTTAAAAAAAAAAAAAACTTTATTTGTTTACTTTATTAAACATTACTTTCAACGTGCGCATGCGTAAAGCATACATTACACATAGTCAAAATTAGAAAATTGCAGCCAGAAAACTATTTGATGTATATTCGCGATATTTATAATGACGAGGAATTTGATTTAAATCATATCAAAGACGGAGTATATCGAGATGAAATACTTCATTTAGTAAGGAATTATAAGCCGAATAAAATGAAAACATCTACCCTGAAAATAAGGAAAGTGCTGACAGATCAACTTCCAAATCATTGTGCGCCGCGTTGAAGGTTACCTATGAAAAGATGTTTGAAGCTACACTTAAATTCAGTTTTCCTAAAAAATTAGTTGATCTATCTAGACTGATTTTAAAGACAGTACATTGCAGAGATAAAACCACGTCTGATTTATCAGAGCCATTCTACACCGAAAAAGTCTACACCGGGTTGAGAAAAATGTGATGCCCTTGCACGGCTTCTTTTTGATATCACCCTTTAAAAGGCTCTTACAGACATCGGAATTATAACCAGAGGCACCGATTTTTAGACAGAATTTTCTATACACTTACTAGAGTACACAGTACACTGACGACATCAACCTGCACAAGTACACAGGTGGTTGCGAACACTTTTACTTCCCTACAGTCGACAGATAAAGAAACGAATTGCCAGTATGGAGGGCAATACGAAATTTATGAAAGCAATAAGTAGAGAACATAATTCTCTCCAAATGCAAATACACCTAATACATTCAAGGATATTGCTCAGTTTATGTATCTCGATGCTATCATCTCTAATAAAAATATTAAACTTGAAATTGACAATGGATTATTTAGAGCTAATTGATGTTCTAAAGAATTATGTCCAAATTATTATATATCAAACTCAAATAAATCTTCATACAAGTTTTAGACTTGTCATATTCTATGGTAGTGAATGCTGGCCCTTAAAGTAACAGAAAAAAGTCTAATGTTTCAAACAAAAATACTCCAAAAAGTATACGGCCTAGGTAAAGAAAATAATACATTAAGAAATTTCTTTAACCATGAAATCTACAGAACATACAAACTACCTAAAATAGCCCAAATCATCAGATCTTATTGTATCAAGTGGCTTGGATATATTTTTAGATTTGACAACTTGAACCCTGTTAAAAAGATGACCACTGCTAATGTAGAGGGTACCAGGAAAAGAGGAAAACCTCAAAAAAGATGGATATAGGGAAGCATATCTCAAGTCTTTAAAAATCAGTTGTTAGCAGACTGTTACAAAAGACAATATATATTAGAGGAAGCTTGTTGATACAGCCTTCACGTGTAAGAGGCTGTAATGCAACTAAAGAAGAAGGAGGAGTATAGGATGAAAAAATGGAAGTATCTCAATAGAATCATGAAGCTGCTTTCTATTCATATATATTTTTTCACAATTGAATCCAACTTTAAATCACTTCATAAATGTTCCAAAAAGTGCATTAAAAGGATATATAGTTCTGTCAGCAATAAACTAAAGAGAGGAGAGACTATTGAACAGGTGTTTTAGTATTTTAGTACCTAAATTTCTGGATTCTAGGCTGGAATTTTAATTTACCTAATTCTCAGCAATCAATACGAAACGCAGGACATTTATGTAAAGTATGTTTCAGTTCCTTCCTTTGTTTCTATATTCAGCAGCAATTTCAGTGATTTCAGATTAAAAGTTTACCTCATTAAAATTATTGCTTATACACTGCACTTTAAAATGCAGAAATTGCTGCAAAATCAATACTGCAAAACAAAACCTTCCTTTAAAACACATTTAAATATATAATCTGAATTATACTAATTTTTGAATAATAGACATAAATAAGAGAAATCAATTTACCTCGTGCATCTGTTTTAAATTTGATATTTCCCGGCTTAAATGTTCTAATTGTTCTGATTTTGAGGAAAGGACTTCTTGAGCATCATTCAATGCAATATTTAGCTCCCTAATATTGGACTCCAGAGTAAGAACTTTTCCACCTCCAACAGCAGCTTCGTTTAGAACTTCTTCCTTTTCTTTCTCCAGAAGTGCAATTTTCTCCTTTAATATGGTTTCATTCAAAGTATATTCTTGAATTTTTGCTTCTAGAGTTTTGCTTTCTGCCACAGCCGCAGCAACTACATCTTCTAATTCCCGGACTTTGTTCTGTTTATAAAAAAAAATGACAGACAGTAATAAATGAAAATATCTTGTTATAAAAATGGAACATTTTTAGAAATGGGATATAATGGCTTTATATGTCCCATTTTTAAAAAAGAAGACAGGGTGTAATGCTACAACTATCAAGATATCACCCTCTTAAAAGTGGTATTGAAAACCTTTTCCCATGTTTTATATACTAGGTTATTACCCTATGCATCTACAGGTACTGGCAGCTACAAACATGGATCTCAAGCCAGAAAATCTACTATTCATCAAATTAACTCAGCTTGACAAAACCGTTAAGACATAATATTGATACTTTTAACCTTTTTATCGATTTCAGGGCTGCCTTTGATTGCATATGCCATGAAAAGGTGTTTGAAGCTATGCTTAAATTGGGATATCCTAGAAAATTGGTTGATTTATCTAGAATGTCTTTAAAAAGTGAAGATTGCAGAGTTAAAGTCATGTCTGATTTATCAGAGGCATTCTACACTGAAATGGGATTGAGATAAGGTTATAAATCTTTCATGCATGCTTTTTAATATTGCTCTCGAAAAGAATCTTAGAGATGGCAGAATTATAACCACAGGTACCATTTTTCAGAGATCTATACTGCAAATGAACTCAGAGAGAAACTGGAATAAAATGAAGAAATGAATTCATAAAGAAACTGGAATTGCCTTAAAGGAGAGTAAAACAAAATTTATGACAGTCATAAGTAGAGCATATAATCCCTTCCCACTGCAAATAAATTCTTATACTTTCGAAGGCATTGCTCAGTTTACGTATCTTGGTATTATCATCTTTAACCTTCTAAAACCTGGTCAAATTTCTCACAATATAGCCTTCAAACTGGCACGATCCAAAACACTTTTGTCCCCCCCCCCATTAACTTTTTCCTAATGAGAAAAGTCGTTAGTCCCCTCCATGCATGCAGTAAAATTTACATGTTTGTCGGACGCTGTTCCATAGTAGATGAGTTGCTAGATTTGTGATTTTTTCAATGATTATTTTGCCTTCATTTAAATTGTCTAATTTAATGAAATAATAATGATAAATTCATTGATAATATTTATTACTATTAGATGATTAGAATGAGATTTAATACAATTAGATTTTGAGATGAACTTACGGCAATAATAAAGCTTTACATAACAATAACAGAGCTTTAAATCTGCTTTTTTCAATAACTTTGTTATTATAATATAAAAAAGAAAAGCAGAGATACATTGGTTGCGTTTCATCATTTAACTTTAACCCTTTCCGGCACGCTACTCTTTAAAGTTGGAAATTTACCAAAAAAATTGTAGGCAGTCTGTTTAGGCCTAGGAGAGTATGCAGGTATAATTTTACAAAGATTGCATAAACCGTTTCCATTTTGTGGGTGTGTCAGAAGCGAACACACCGAGCCTCACGAGCTGCGATAGGTGAGCATTGTTGTGAAGCATGTATTACAGTAAAATACTTTGTCTTATGACTTAAAAACAGTAGAATCTGATTTCTGTAGCAGATTTAACATAACCCAGGGCACACCACGGGGAGGCCTGCTACTCTACATCCCCCCAAAAAAAGGGAGAAAAAAAGAAACTTGCATTGCTTCGGCAATGCTAAGGCCTCTTCGAGCTATTTACACAATTTTAAAATTTATAAGAGAAATAAATACATAGTAGAATTAAAATACTATATAATATTTACAGTTAATTATTGACTAGAAAAAAATTATTAAATATATATACAAATAAAAATCTAGAGAGATCAAAACTAAGCAAACTACGCACGATAAAAGCAAGAGAAAAAAAGGGTTTGCTCTCTCTGAAAATCAAACATCTAAGTGAAAACAAAGCACCCGGAGCTTCAAAATCAGAAAAGAATAAAAACAAATATAAATAAATCTGCACTCTCAGCCTCCCCCGTGTTTGAAGCACGAGACCAGATTCTGTAACTCACATTCACGTGATAGGCGCTACCAATACAGTGCGTTCGGTCGGAACATACCACACACTGAAGGCTTCACTAAACGCAATATTTCAAACATAAAAATTAAAGTAATACAGAACAGGCAGATTAAAGATTAGCATATGAACAACAAATTATATAAAGATTTTTTTTCATTAATATTCTTTATATTTAAAAAAATCAACATTTTTTGAAAAATCATGTCTTTAAAACAGAATATAGCTCAACATTAAGATTTGCTTGGGGTGCTCCATCTATTTCTTAAAAGAGATTAAATAAATACTGTGTTTGTGATATTTATTCGAAATATTTTGGTGTTTAACAAATATTTATTACATTGGACTATCAGGCAAAGAAGGTATATCTTTAACGAGAATTTTTCTTTGTAAAATTGGCTTTTGTTTATGTTAGCCGAGAAAAAAATTCGTGACTTATACATGCAATCATCAAAAAAGAATTTTGAGAACAGTTTTAAATGTTCATGAAGAATTAATACGTCAATTTCTTTCCATAGGTAGAAATTTCGTCTAAAACTATCGTTATATCCAAAAGTTGAAGTCTATTTCATTTTCAACGAATATTCTATTTGCACATAATATATTTCTAATTTATTTTAGAAAGAGTAATCTTTCACGTTTTCAAAAGAATAAGGAAATATTGGGTGTTGATACCATGTAGTAAATTTGTTTTTTATATTTCTTCCAGTAATGAAAACGATTACCCTGCAATATTTTCAAAGCAAAATTAAGAAAACCGTTTACGCCAAATTGTGCATAAAGTATCTTCTCGTGTATATTTTTATTTAAAGTGTGGAATTTTCTCTTTGAAAATATCAAAAATCATGAAGAGCAAAATTAATTCATGAGAAATAACTTTGAAATGCAATAATTCCATTGTAATATGACATAGTGGATAAAAGTGCAATACAGTTTATTTATTCACAAATAATCCCCCTCATATGCGTAATTTATGTACTGTCGATTGAGAAATATAGGTTAGTAAATTAAACCGGTTAATTCAATACTTTTCCTTTATCAATATTTTTACCTGCTCTTCAGTAAAGCGGTAAAGGTGGCTGAACACTTATAGCTCGCTTGGATTTGAATCCCGGATAAATAGTTGGAGTTCATGGTTTTTGTGTAACGTAAATGCAAGCCAGCTTCTCTTAGAAAGTCCTCCGCGAAGACATAACTCCCCTTATACAGGTAATCGTTGGGTGCTTTGATGTAATTCAGTAAGCGAACAAATTAATCCAATCAATACCGAAGAACGGGTTGATTACATGTGGAGTTTTCCACCAGGAATGTAAATGCGAGCAATTTTCTCTTAAAAAGGTTTACACGAAAGCATCCATTCCCTTAAGCAGATAGCGTTCGCGTGCTTTTCCGTAATCCAATCCTAATTTTCATACATTTAGTAGTAAGTTGACATACACCTTATTACAGACAAAATAACAACTTTTTTAAAGATATTTTTTTTTATCAACTTGTCTGAATTCTCTCTATCTCTTGAAGGAGTATAAGAATTTCAGCAAATAAAACTGGCCAAAATTTTATACAATTTAACTGATGTTTTGATTCAGTTTAGAAGTAACGTGAGCTTTACTGATATTTAAATATTTTTTGGCAGATCTCATCCTAAAAGAGGGTGTAAAGATAAATTGATTTTATTTAATTTACAATCAATGAAAATCATTGAAAGCAATCACTGAATGAATCAATAAATAAATGAAAATCACAAAAACTATTATGCATACAATTGTCTCTTATTTATCTCCTGATAAATCAGACAAAATTGCCTGCATAATAGAAGCACTTTGAAAGAGTTGAACAGTTCTTAAGGGTTTTTATGCACTCCACAAAAAAAAAAAAATCTTATTATTTCATAAGTATGAAAAGGAAGTAAACGATAAAAGCGGTTTTAACCTATTTTCTTAGAAGGGCATTAAATCTAAAATATTAATCTATTCTTATTTGCTTATGATTAAAGAAGCATTAAATATGGTAAGCTTAAAGAGCGTGCAAAATCGCTGACGTTTTAATCATAGCAAAAGTCAGTACTAAAAAAAATAGCATTAAAATTATGAGACAGATTGAGAAAGAGATGGCCTCTATTTAATTTTCAAGTATATTGGCGCGAGACGAAACCTGCGGTTTTTGCCAAAATGTAGCTAAACTGATAAGAAGAGGGAAATAAATGCGTAGCCAGCGGCTACTCTGAGCAGCGACAATGGACCACCCAAAGATCTACAGATAGGCGATTCTCTAAAATGGGAGGGGCATGGATGGTACGACAGTTGTACCATGCCGGCGTCTGAGAAAGTCATTTTCCTGGTACAACTGCTGTACCAGCCTGCTTCAGAATGTTAAAAAGCAGAAATCGTTGCAAAATAAATGTTATAAAACAACTCCTTGCTTTAAAACATATTTATATAGAAATCTGAAATATACCATTTCTTCAATACCAGATAAAAAATTAGAAATCAACATACATAATACGTATCTTTTAAGTTTGTCATTTCCTGGCTTAGATGTTCTGATTCTTCAGCTTTTACGGAAAGGTCTTCTCGAGCTTTATTCAATGCGGTATTTAGCTCCTTAATGTTGGCCTTCAAAGTTAGAACATTACCAGCTTCAGCAGCAGCTTCGTTTACAGCTTCTTTCTTCTCTTTCTCCAGAACCTCAATTTTCTCCTTTAATATGGCTTCACACAAGGAATATTCTTCCATTTTGGCTTCTAGAGTTTTATTTTCCACCACAGCTGCAGCAATTTCATCTTCTAATTCTCCAACTTTGTTGTGTTTATAAAAGAATGAAAGCTAATAATAAATCAAAATACCTCATTATGACATTAAAATATCTTTTTGTACAGAAAACCATTTAAAACAAAACTTATCTGAAGAGTATCTCTATAGTTATTTTAATCAAAAATACTTTCACTTCCAAAACATTTACGAAATATTTGACATTAAATTAAAAGCCATCACAGGCACATATTTTTCATTCCAAAAGGCATATATTTTCAAAAAGGCCCAGATTTTTCATTTATGAAATATTTTCCATGCTTCTTTTCTTTGCATATTCAGAAGCAATTTCAGTGATGTTACATTATTTTTTTTTACTTACTTAAAATTATTGTTTATACATTGCACTTTAAAATGCAGGAACTGTTACAAAATAAATGCTACAAATCAACACCTTGGCTTAAAACATATTTAAACATATAATCTGAATTATACCAACTTATGAATGCTTGATTAAAAGAAAAAATAGGAATCAACATACCTCATATATCTTTCTTAAATTTGATATTTCCTGGTTTCGGTGTTCTAATTCTTCAGCTGTTAAGGAAAGGTCTTCTTGAGCTTTATTCAATGCATTATTTAGCTCCTTAATGTTGGACTCCAGAGTTAGAACTTTACCACCTTCAGCAGCAGCATCGTTTAGAACTTTTTCCTTCTCTTTCTCCAGAAGTTCAATTTTCTCCTTTAACATGGCTTCACTCGTAGAATATTCCTCAATTTTGGCTTCTAGAGTTTTGTTTTCTGCCACAGCTGCAGCAACTGCATCTTGTAATTCTCCGACTTTGTTCTGTTTATAAAAAAAATGAAAGAAATAATAAATAAAAATCAATGAATCACCTCATTATGAAATTAAAACATCATTTGATACAGAAAAACATTTAAATCAAAATTTATCTAAACAATATTCTCTACACTTATTTTACCAAAACACATTTTCACTTTCAACACATTTACGAAAGTATTTGACATTAAATCAAAAGCCATCAACGGCACATATTTTTGAAGGCCCACATTTTTCAATTATGAAGTATTTTGCACAGTTTCATAGTTAACACTTACCTCATAAGAATCTTTTGTATTTAACATTTCTTTGCTCAGTTTTTCAAAATCTGCTACCTTTGAAGATAAATCATCTTCATGTTTCTTCAGAGTTAAAGTTAGTTCCTCAATCTTTGACTCCAGTGCTTGCTTATTATCAAATTCAATAGCAATTTTCATCAAAAATTCCTTCTTTTCCTTTTTCAGAATTTCATTTTTCTCTTTTAGTATGCCTTCATTCAAAGAATAATCAGCAACTTTTTCTTTAAGGTTATCATTCTCAGCTTTTGTTGCAGCAACTGCATCTTCCAATTCATGTGCTTTGGCCTAATATGGCACCCAAAAATACAAAAACAATTATATTGAAGAACAATCCTGAATTCAACTTAGCAATGAAATAATCAACAATAATTTTAAATGAAGAATATATCTAATGGACAAAAAAATTCATTTCTAAAAAACTCAAAAATAAGAGAACAATAACGTGAATAAATTATATACATATCATTTAAACTGCAGTATTTTAGAAACTTTTTCTTTCATTCATACAGATTTATATAAATTTGAATATGGTAACCAATTTGAGCATATTGTGTAACTTAAGGTTTTTCATTTGCATAGTTCCCCTCTTAGAAACATGAAAACCGAGAAGTTTACATTGCACTGCAATGCAATTTCAAAAAGACTCTAGATAACCAAATTTCACTTAAGGTCATTTTATAATACATCACTCTCATCAGATTACTTATAATATAGCACTGAAGGTAAGATATGCTAGCTTAATATAAAATTCATTATTCTAAACTTTAACTTTTACTTATGTTTTTTGGCAAATTTCCTTTCTTTCAATATTTTTTTTTTTTTTTCGGTAAAAATTCAAATAGAAATTTTCTATTTCTCAAAGTCCTTTTAAACACAAAAACGATTAATTCATGTGCCTATCATTGTATGCCTAAATTAATATTGTAACATTTAAAAGTTTAAAGGAACACTAAAGCAGGTTGAATCTTCAGAAAATGCCCTACAATGAAATAAAACAAAGTCACGTAGAATAAAAATTACACAGAAAAACTGCGCTAAAATATTATTCTTAAAAATTAAGCTTGCAGGATTTTTTAGGTTCATTAAAAGATAATGCGAAAAAGGACTTAACATTAATTTAAAAATTTGCAGTTAAAATGTTCTTCACAGCATTTCATTTAATGCTCAGTGTGAACAGGATTTTTTTTATAACTTTATTTGAAAGGGTTAATCTAAATTCAAAGCTATTAAAACTGAGAGATTAAAAAATTCCTGGAAAACTGGGATATAAGACAAAAAATTCCAGTATCTCAATAGAACCATGAGGTTATCAGCTTTCCATTCGTATATATTATTCCACAATAAAATCCATTGCAACTTTCTTATGTTATAAATATTTTTTTTAAATGCATGATGAAAATATATTTCTCTCATCAATAAGCTGAGTATGCAAGAGATTTCTCAATAGTTATTTTAGTACCTAAATTTTTGGATTTTAGGTCTGAACATTAAATTACATTGTTCTCAGCAATCGATAAGAAATGCAGTTTATGTAAAATATGTTTTCATATACTTCTTTCGTTTGCATATTAAACAGCAATTCCACGGATGTTTCATTAAATTTTTTATTTCCTCAAAATTATGCATTATTCATTGCAAGCATTTTGAAAAGCACACATTTTTTCAAAATACATGTTACAAAACAGAGCCTTACTTTAAAACATATTTATATAGATAATCTGAAATATACTATTTTCTAAATGCCAGATAAAAATAATAGAAATCAACATACCTGATAGATATCTTTTAAGTTTGCCATTTCCTGGCTTAGATATTCTAATTCTTCAGCTTTAAAGGAAAGGTCTTCTTGAGCTTTATTCAATGTGGTATTTAGCTCCTTAATGTTGGACTCCAAAGCTAGAACTTTACCAGTTTTAACAGCAGCTTCGTTTAGCATTTCTTTCTTATCTCTCTCCAGAAGTTCAATTTTTTCCTTTAACATGACTTCACTTGAAGAATAATCTTCAATTTTGGCTTCTAGAGCTTTGTTTTCTGCAACAGCTGCAGCAATTGCATCTTCTAATTCTCTTACTTTCTTCTATTTATAAAGGAATGAGTGACAATAATAAATCAAAACTCCTTATTATGAAATTAAAACATCTTTTTGTACAGAAAAACATTTAAAACAAAATTTATCTGAACAATATTCTTTACAGTTATTTTAATCAAAAATACTTTCACTTTTAAAACATTTATTAAGTACTTGACATTAAATTAAAAGCCATCACAGGCACACATTTTTCATTACAAAAGACAATATTTTCAAAAAGGCCCAGATTTTTCATTTATGAAATATTTTGCATAGTTTCATAATTAACACTTACCTCATAAGAATCTCTTGAGTTCAACATTTCTTTGCTCAAATTTTCAAAATCTGCTACCTTTGAAGACAAATTACCTTCAACTTCATTCAGAGTTAAAGTAAGTGCTGTAATCTTCGACTCCAGTATTTGCACATTATTAGATTCAACAGCAATTTTCGTCAGAATTTCCTTCTTCTCCTTTTCCAGAATTTCAATTTTCTCATTTAGTATGCCTTCTTTTAAAGAATAGTCACAAATTTTGGCTTCTAAATGAACATTTTCAGCTTTAGTTACAGCAACTTTATCTTCCTGTTGTTGTGCTTTGGCCTATTATGAGAACCAAAAACAGATAAAAAATTAATTTAAAAGAAAATCCTGAATGCAGCTTAACCACGAACTCTTGAATAATTTCAAGTAAAGAACATATAAGATGGGCAAAAAAGGGAAGATAAGGGAACAGTAACATGAACATATTATATAGATTTTGTGTTTTGTATGCAAGCTGCACTACAAAGTATTCTTATATGTTATTATTTTTTTACGGTCATATCAAATTATACAAATGTAAATTTTGCAGCATTTTTTAGTAAGCCATAATTTCTTTTCATTAAAGTATAAATATGTTCTTATATATATATATTATTCAAAAACAAAGTTCATTGCAGCTTTTCCTATTCATAAATAAATTGTTATAAGTTTTCAAAAAAGAAATCATGAAGGTACTGCTCTTTGATTAATAATCTGAAAAAAATTAGAAATTTTTCAATAAGAATTTGAGCAAAAACTGAAAAATAAATTTTAGAAAATCTGAAATTTAGCTTATCGATAATTTTGATGATTTGAACAATGCGACTAAAGTTGATTTTTGATGTTTGGAGCAGTGACATTGGAATTTGCCAGTGAATGAATAATAATAAATTTTATATATTGTAACTGATTTTCAAAATTGTAAAGTTTGGTACTTTCAAAGGGTTTTGTAACAAGACACAAGTCATGAAATGTATGCCAAAGTGCCAGATATGGCACAGGTCACAATAAAACTTTATATCGCTTCATGGTATTTATGTATTATCTCATCGATTATGAAAGTTGGCCACTGAAGTTGTCTAAATTGTTGCTGCGGAATTCTGAAGGAACTGATGCTTTTATATTTAATAAACAATTAGTATGCAGCCCCCCCCCACTTCATAGAAAGGCTTTCATTGATTTTTACCATTTTGCCAGGCTCTCTGATTTCACCAGAAGCTCTGCTTAGAATTCTATCAGTACAAACTTTTTGCTTTCACTTCCTATCAATTACTGTTATGTTGGCTATATTCAGTTACCATATGATATCCATTAATACACACTTTTTATGGTAGTATGCAGAAGACCGTCGTTTCATTTCATACCATGATATCCATTAATACACACTTTTTATGGTAGTATGCAGAAGACCGTCGTTTCATTTCATCATAAAAATGGTAGCATGCAGTGACTCTGAAAATTATCCACTGCTTTTTAATAAAATAAGCAAGCATTTTTATAAGCACAAAAGTATTTGTTATTCTGTAGAAGGCAGACTCTAATTTTTAATCTATTCTCCCCCCAAAAAATGAATAAAAAATGTGCAACAGTAACAGTTAATTTATATCCTTGCTCAAGAAAACAAACATGACTTACTGAGAATCAACCAGGATTCTCTCAAATGAAAATGCAAATATTAGGAATTTGTTGCTGCATCATGCTTATACATAACTGGCTCTTCTGGGTGACAGTTTTACCGTTAAGTGTCGATAATATATATAATGTTGATAGTACGCAATGCCAAATTTGTGCATTCTCTGCTTTTTGATTTTTTTAAAGCTAAAACAGATTGTTGTGTACATGGTGAGAACAACAGTTTCATTCTCTGCTTGTACATAGCAATGTTTTTCAGAAAATTGCATAAATTCAAACACAATGAGCTTGTCACTGCACACATTAAACATTATATATACACTATACTCATCAGATATAAAATATTTATTCTTTTCTTTTCATTTTATGTATCAATGAGGTTGCCACCATCTAGTGAGATTTCATGCCAATGCTTACGTTTGACATTAAGTAAGTGATGATTATGATCTCTGAAAATATTATTTGCCTTACAACTGTCTATTATTACTTTTATACTTTTTGTCTTGCAACAAATAAATACTGAATCACTTAATGATAGAAATTATCTGGGTAATATTTTATTAAGGTAGGCATGAGTTCACTGCCAAAAAAAATCTGTGGATCACTGCCAAATTGTGATTTATTTAAAGAGAAGTGTAAAAAAAAAAAAAAGAAAAAAAAAAAGAAAAAAGAAAGAAAGCATTTTAGTCATTTCCTTGTAAAAATGTGACATTTAAACCTTATATGAAAAACTACAGATTTTAATAAATTGTCTAACTGATTTAGAGTAAATTAAGCAGAGAAAACATAAATTATAGTATATGAATTACAAAAAGTATTTTTAAAACATTTAACCAAATTTAATTAAATAATTCTTTGCATCATCGCAGCAAGGAATGAAATTTAAATTTAACATATTAAATTTTAATTTTAACAAACACGTACAAAGTAAAAAAGCAAATTTAAAAGCCCCCCCCAAAATTAAAAAAGAGAATCAAACCAGGTAATTAGCGCTAAGCTGCTAAGTACAAACAAAATTGTTTCATAAGAAGAAATTGAATTTAATTAAATTAAATTTAAATTTAAAAACAAATTTAATTAATAATTCTTTTGCCATTGCTGCAAGGAATGAAATCTAAATTTAACAAATTAAATTTTAATTTTAAACAATACGTACAAAAGTAAAAAGCAATTTAAAGCCAAAAAAATTTTTTTAAATTTGTTTTTAAATTTTAATTAAATTTAATTAAATTCAATTTCTTCTTATAAACAATTTTGTTTGTACTTAGCAGTTTAGCGCTAATTACCTGGTTTGATTCTCTTTTTAATTTTTTTTTCCCTTTAATTTGCGTTTTTACTTTTGTACGTATTTGTTAAAATGTAAATTTAATTTGTTTAAATTTAAATTTCATGCCTTGCACAATGGCGCAAAGAATTATTTAATTAAATTTGTTTTTAAATTTTAATTAAATTTAATTAAATTCAATTTCTTCTTATAAAACAATTTTGTTTGTACTTAGCAGCTTTAGCACTAATTACCTGGTTGATTCTCTTTTTAATTTTTTTTGGGGAGGAGGGGGCTTTAAATTTGCTTTTTACTTTTGTACGTTTGTTAAAATTTAAATTTAATTTGTTTAAATTTCATTCCTTGCAGGCAATGGCGCAAAGAATTATTTAATTAAATTTGTAATTTGTTTAAATTTTAACTTATATATATATATCTATATTATAGAATCAAATAAAGAAAAGGAAAAAAACTGAAAGGATTCAGATTTAATGTCCCAAAAGAGATTTTTTTTAAGGTTCTTTATGCTCTCATTGAGCTTGCAGTTTACTTTCTGCTCTTAGAGTCGCTCCTGCTAACATACATACATATATATATATATATATTTGTCCTTTTATCCTTATCATTAAATATTGCTTTCTTTGCACTTGTGAAATTCAACAGTAAAATCACAAAATTTTTAAAAAAGCAGCATATGCATAATTTCTGATACAGAGTTATGTATTCCCATTATCTCCCCTCCCAGTTTTTCTCAGTTCATCCTATCAATGTTCAATTTTCTTAGTAAGGTAACTTACATGACTTTTGCTGTCTTTCTATTAATAACATTTTAACTTCTTAAATTATAACTTTTTAACTGCTGTATTAATTAATTTGCTCAGCATTACTTTCTTCATGCTTACACCAGATAAAATTCAGCAGCAAACATTTAAAAACAGCATAACTTTCAGAATTCTCAATAGAATGTTAAGTGTTGCCATACTATTTTTATATTCACTATATTCTTAAACAATTCATGGTGATAACATTTGGTGACATTTTTTTTATTTATGTTACCATAATTTTTTTATATTCACTAATTTATTTATTTTAAATTAATCAAGTGTGATAACATTTGGTGAAAATTTCATCACATTTGTTAAGTGATACAGTTAAAAAAAACAAAAAAAAAAAATCTGAGGACTCGGAATAATACCTCTTGCTATAAAACTAACTAACTTTGATGTTTAGAATTTCGAAGCCTTACGTAAATTTTTAAACCTTATGTGCCTATGAATTTAGGTCTCCTTATAATTAAAACTTCACTCGGTTTTCATACTCTTATTATTATAAAGTCATACTTTCAATTTTTGTTCCTCAATTTAAAATCTTTCTATTTACAGGTTACTGGAGATTGCTGTATTAATTTAATTGGTACAACCTTTTATTGACTGTTTCCTTTTTCATGGGATCAAAATATATGTTTCTCCCCAGCAGCATTTGTAACTCTTATTTAAATACTTTGCACCAAATATTTAGTTCTTAATTTAAATAGCATTTAGAATTTACTATTTTTATTTCAACTTTGCAGAATAATTTCAGAAGGTAATCGAAACCTTTTTGTTCTTAAGAAAATAAGATACTGCAATGTTTAATATAGGTTGTGTTTCTGTCCAGCAACTAAGTATTGCTCAACACAAATCAAATCCCTTTTGTTTTTTCTGCTATTTTCTGTGGAAAGGCAGAAGGGAAATTTAAATAGTTCCTAAGCCTTAAGCTTGCCAGTTTGTTCCACATAACATATTGTTCAGGTGCCATTCATCTTTTCAACTTTAGTAATCAATTAATGTAGAAAGTCCACATTTTGAAGCATAAATAAGGATTTAAGCTATTTTGCACCCTTCTATAATATTGTATTTATTCTGGACTTTTAGCCGATATCCAGAAGAGTATAATGTAATTGAACATAGGAAATTAGCTGTATTTTAAAATAAAAGTACTCTTTCATATGGCAGAAAAATAATAGATCCCAGCTTTAAAAATCCTGTTTTGGTAGTCCTGGTCCACAAACTAATGGCAGCAAATTCAAAATATTTTAGATTATGGAAATTGCTTAACCACACAGTACCAAATTAAAGACATAAAACCTGTTTTATTTTAAAATATTCCAAACAAAATATAACACATTTCAAATTAAATACACAATGCAAATTAACTAATGTAGCAATAAAATACTGCACTGCTTAATTTACTTGTATGTGAAATTTCTAAACAGTTAAGCAGTTAAAAACTATGATAATAAAGCAAAAAAACTATTACTTCTAATAATCCATGTGATTTTGAGAGAATTTCCAGTTCCTTTTTGATATTATGGTAAGCATTTTCTTTTTCTTTCACTAGGTTATTGCTGCCCTCTAGTTGTAATTGAAGAGTTTTCATTTCTTCAGTCAAAGAATTGTTTTTGTCTTGCAGAACTTTACATGATTTTTCTAACTCTGAGTTTTCTGAAATGAGAGCTTGCATTTTTGCTTCACAAGAGAACTTTGCTTTTTGAATCTCTTCCAGTTCTTCCTCTTTTTGTTTTAGTGAAAATTCATAAGCATTTATTTTCATATCAAGGCTCTTTTTGTCAGCTTCCAGTTGCCTAAGAGAAACAATAAATAATTTAGGAATTTCACATTACAGAACATAAAGAACATTTTTACACTGTATGCTCAGCTGCAATAAAATAATAAATAAAAGTCAAATAAATATCCAAATCTGATCCTTTGTAAAATGTGTCTCATTAAATGAGAATCACAAACAGACAAAAGTGGCATTATTATATTTTGTAGGTTTTTAAACTATTCTAAAAATAAATGATTCGATTCTGAGTATGCACTTACAAAATGTTATTGTAATTGTGAATTTTTGTTATATACCAGTGGTTCTCAACCTTTTTTTGCCTCCATACACTCCTTATATACCATTGCTAGGATATCATACCTCCTCAATTCTTTTCCAAACTCAAGAAATAGTCAGGCTTTTATTTACATACTTTTTAACATATTTTATAAATCTCAGGATAAAAAGTACAAATCTCAGGATAAATTCCAAAACTTAAATAAAAAGAGCTTTTATAATGAATAACTAAAATTAAACACTTGATAGTTAAATAAAAATCTGGCTGCATTCATCCTTGAAACTATGAAATTCCCCCCCCCCCAGGAGAGATCTCCTAGATTAAGATTTTGTTATATATATATTTTTCATAGAAATTAAAAAATTTAATTTTTTTAAGATATATACATAATAAATGGGCAAAAACTCACTGATAATTTTTATTCCACTTTTGTTTGTTTAAAAAAAAATTCAAATTCTTTTTATTTACTTATTTACTGGGAGAAATGAAAAAAGAGAAATACATGACTGTTCGATATATGGCATCTGTATTAATGCTTATAATAAGAAGAAGACAGTTGATACATTAATATGGATGTCATTTTTGAAATAACTTAGATCAGTGGTCTTCAAACAGCTCACAGAACCCTTAAAACCATAAGGTTTCTTGATTTGAACTTGATAGCTCATCGGGAAGTAGTTTAAAAATCAATGACAATCTTCTGATTATAACAATAAACACCATGAGAGAACTAAATAAAAGTTTTCAAATCAAGCAGCTCTCTTGCCAACTCTTAACTATTATATTTTTAAACACTTTGTAAAACTCTGTAAATTGCTGATATTGCATAACCGTTAATTTTACAACTTTTTGGTATTATGAAATATATATATGACATTCATATGCAATTCCAGACAATTTTATTCATTTGTCAAACTGGCTGCCTTTGAAAATATAGATAATGAGTAGCACAGTATTTTTATGTTCTATTTCCAATTAGCAATTTTGATACTTATTTAAGTTATTATAATAATTTTACATAATGTATCTGAAAATAGATAAAGCTAAGACAATACAGACAAAGAAAAAATGAAAATGTTTTGATGTATTTTTTTTATAATAGAAACGTTCATTTTACATTAAAAATTAAAGTCAATAACCTTAAACAGCAATAGTATATTACAGTACAAGTGAAGAAACCGATAGTTTCACTCACACGTGTGTCGGATTTGTGCAATGCTTATGGGATCCCACAAAATTTGCGTAAATATTAGTTCCCACACCAAAAAATGTAAGAAACCCTGCTGTATATTATGGAGAAAATTAATATGAGGAGGTGGATAAAGAAAAAAGAAAAAAAAAAAAAAAAACATTCTTTTAAAAGGGGTCAATACAAGAAAAAGTTTGGGAATACTTGCAACAGATGATTCCCTACAGAATTAATGCCATTATAAAGATATTTATATAAAGAGCAGGACTTTAAATAATCTTGAAAAAAAAAAAAAAACACACGTGGTTAACTGAAAGTAAAGTGGGAATGCATTTAGTTTTGTATGTATTAAATAAGAGACAACTAAAATCATATTGAGAATTATCAATAGATTCACCATTTATCAGAAGTCAGGAGGGGTGCAAAATTATTGCCTCATTAAAGAAATAAGTTAAGGATCTTCTATTAGTTAAGGATTCTATTCTAAATTTTTATATCATTTCACTTTTGGACATGGTGCTCATCTTGCATACAGCTTCAGAACTATCAAACAAAAACTTTTGAATATTCATGACTGATAATTTAGTTTATACTTTTGTTGCTTATGTACATATAAGTAACAAAAGTACCAAACTAAATTACTAGGGCCTAGATATTTAAGAACTGATCTGTGGCAAAAATAATGTTGGGGGCCTTACATACATTATGTTTTGTGCTGTGACAATCCAGTCTTTCAGAAGCACTTATTTGCCCTATTGTGTACCTAAACTATCCTATTGCATGTAAATAAGAATTTTGCACCTATACATTCTAGTTCACAACAATTTACCTATAAAGCAATTTTATACGATATTTATGCAATTAAACTCAGATTAGTGATTAAGTTACATATTAAATTAAGACAAAATAAAAAATGTAAAGTGAAAGAGTTCAGACATGCTATTCAATGATATGTAAGATGTACACAGATTTCATCTACTTAATCAGAATAGCTCAGTTACAGCAATGAAGCTAAAAAAAAACTTGCATAAAATTCTGCTTTATAGCAGGGGTGTTTTTTATGTTCACTCCTTTGAACCAAGTAATTAGAGGAAGAAAAATGTTAACATCTAAAACAGCTGCATATTTCTTTGAAACTAAAATGAGACTTCACAGATCCAATCTCTGTAACATGGAGAAAAGCTTGGCATTAAGACTATATATTTAGTGTTTATTTATAGACAGGCCTTTACTAATAAATGCTAAATATAACCTGTTGTAAAGTAAAATTAAATAAAAAAAAAATAATCTTAGACTGCAATTTTTTAATAAAATCTCTTGATTTTGAAAGCATAGGTGACATGGATCTATTTAATGCATGGCGAGTTGCCCTTTAAATCAATAAAAGTTTCATTTAAAATCTACACCAATCTAAGACAGCATTTTTATCTAATTTTACATTTTATATTAATGTATTTATTTTTTTAACAATATTAAAATGTCTGAAATAAAAAAAAATCTTCCTATGAATGCCCCTTCATGTTTTGGTTACATCACTTTTCTGCTCCATTTGGTCAAATTTTGCTTCTGAAATTCCAAGCTTTATTTGATATAAAAAATGTATATAGCTGATAACTGAATTGGAAAAGGTATTTGGTTGTTTGGAGTGAATAGTAATGTTTGTGTTAGAAGATAAGTATTTGCTTATTTTGGAAGGAATTTGATATTTGTTTAGAAGAAAAATACTTGTTCAATATTTGATTTTCAAAGAAATATGGCTCTTTAGTGCAGCTTACAGAAGCTTGAACTAATATTTTTAGGACTTGTTCAGACTTGAAAAAAATTTCTAAAGTGTTACTTCTTTGGTTCAAGTCTGTATATTGTAACAGAAATGTTAAATATGATCAACTTGTTTGTTAAAAATTTTAATGCATTAAAAATTAATATTTCTACCCATGATCTGTAAAATTTAGATTTATCACATCAACACAAAACATGAAATCAAATAATGCAGCAAAAGGACTACAGAAAATATTTTTGCTAAAATCCAACAATTTCAAGTTTTTAAAAAGGATTTTATTTTGTTCCAATTTAAGCTGCCTATTATAAATGCATGCCTTATCTCATCATTAAAAATAATGCATTGAGACATGCATAATAACTGAAAGTAATATATGGTGGCATGAAGTCCATCCAAGTGCAACATTGATTTTGATCATCATCTCAAATGATTTGATCATTATCATCTCAAATGATGATGATAATATATAAATTAAAATATTTGATAATAACAGGCATTTAATTAAGATGACAAATTACAATAAAACAATTTTAATAATGAGTGTTGTCTTTAGTACAACTAAATCTGAAAATTCTAATAACAGATTGCAAAATTCCAAGAGAAATGCACTCATTTCATAACAGATTTTACAGTTTTTTCAGCTCATGAAAATTATTCAATATTTAAATGTTATTTATCATACAATTCAAAGTTTTCACTCGAATAGGTTTATGTTAGTAATTCTACTGCTGCAAATGATAACAGTATTTGCTGAAAAATATGTTCATTGCAGTGCTTACTGGGCATTTTCATTAAAAGAAACTAAATCTATAATTAAGTACTGAAAGTCAATTTTATACTCAATATAGTTAGAATCCTCTCAGTAGAGCAACATTTTATACATGGTGCAGTTTATGCTTGGCGGCCTGTTGTTCTGTTAGACATGGCAGGTCTTCAGCAAGCCATATTCACTTGACATAATAGCAGGATGAATGATGGACAGTTCTATTCTTAACAATGGAATTCACCAGATATGAGACTGTTATTTCATATTAGAGAATTTTGAGCATTTCATGGAGTCACTTGCATTTTAAGATATATCGATTTATGATTGTGCACCACATTAATAATGAAGATAAGATGAATCGGTGTGATTTCTACTTCAGTATGTTACATTGATTGAAACAGGACATCATTGATTCACATAATTTTCAGCGATGAGTTGACCAAGCTTCCAACATGAAAAGTATGATATGTTCATGATAACTCCTAGTTGCTTTGTGTATTTAGTAATGAAAAAAATGTACGAAATATTTGTGTGAGAACTTAATAAAGAGTACTATGAGATGACATTAAAATCAAGTATGTAGGCCTTTTGAAAAAAATTTCCATAAACTTGAAAAGCTGTAAAATCCTTTAAGAAACGCATACTAAATCTCTTTTTTTATAACAGTAAGTTCTAAAGGATTAGCAGAATCAGTTCCCATCAAAAAACTGTCAGCTAGTCAGAAGAAAATTGTAATTTTTTTCTGATTAACATTCTAGTCTGAAATTACTAAATTCAGGAAGTTTCAGACTAATCTTATTATCTATTTTCTAACTTTAATTATTGCTAAATAGAACAGTTTTATAATCTAAATTTTTATGCTTTTGTGTAAGCCACTAAATAATTTCATGCACCGTTTATTACATATCCCCATTTTATTTAAAATAGTGATTGCACATTTTCTTTTTAAATTATTCTCAGAAGCAGCTCTCGCCAAGACAAACAACATTCTTTATGCTTTGTTAACCACTATTCCACCATTTTTCATTTTTTATAATCTTTCAAGATAAAAGAAATCATGTGAATTCATGTGTTACTGTGTTCAATACAGTCTATATGACTGCATGCATTTTGCACAGCTTAAATAATAGAAAAAAATCTAAAGAATAATTTTCCAGTTTAAAAGCTGACATTCTAAAGCAAAATACTTTTATATGGGGTACAAAAATAGCACAACTAAAAATATAAGATATTCTTCTGCACATTAGTTTCAGTTAAAGTTCAAATTAGTTTAAAATTGATTTAGTTAAGGTTTACTTTTTATGAAATATACTTCTTGATAACTATATTTTGAATATCATACAAATCTTATTCTGCAGGGTAAGGCAAAAACTGTGCATCATAGAATTAGTGTAGTATTCAGATAAAATAAAAAGTAATTAAACGTGTATAGACACATATAAATAAAATATGAATTCCATAATAAAACATAGTATTTATACTTTACAATTTACCTGGGCTACTAATTCCTATAATATACAATTGCTGCCTCATTCTATATATTTATATACTTACACCTTAACTTGTTCTGCTTTGCTTAACTGAAGAGTTGTGAGATCTAATTTTTTGCTGGCCTGAGAAATATCTTGCTGATATTTGTTTCTAATTTCTTTCAGTTCTTTATCCAAGTCAGCAATTACTAGCAAGAGAAAGCAATATATGAAGTATGCTTAATCTGTAGGTATTAAATAAAGCAATTCAGTAGTACCCTTCTGTCCATAGGTTATATATATCAAAACCTAATATTACTATATAAACTAAAGACATTATTTTGTACATGTAATGTAATACAGCATTATGAACATGTAATGTAATACAGCATTCATACGATATACATAAATTAAGTTAATATTTGTAACATATATAAAATTATTTAAAGGATAAATTATACATAATAAGACATTACCAATGTTATGTTAATTATAAGCAAGAAAGACATTATAAATGTACACTGCATTGTACATTTATAATGCATTTTCTTTCTCATTTGTATAATGCAATGCATTCTGACATTTTAACCAAATTTTAAAAAGATCATAAAGCAATGAAAAATAATATATCTATATCTTGTATACAATAGCAGTTTAAAATGATAAAAGTCCATTAGAAATAAAGTTTTTTTAATCACAGCACTGCCAAAATGATGAAACATCAGTGTCTAAATCATGCACATTTGTACTTATGGTTCAGTTGATTTGGTAGATTATGGTAAAGCACACTAGGGCTATCTGCCTAAGGGAAGGAAGGCCCTCATAGAGAACTGGAATAAACTGGCTTATATGTACATTATACATGAGGGAAACCACAAAAATGCCCATGCAGCCAGCCTGTTCACCTGGAATCAAACTCAGGTCGAAACTACCAGTGTTCAGCGATTTTACCGTTCGGCCACTGGTGGGTCTAAAGGCCCATTCAGACGATTATGCTTGGAACATAGCTAACGAAAGCGCATTTGTGTTACCAGCAAAACAGCATCCAAACAAGTACACTTACGAAGACTGCGTTTAACCAATAGAATTATTTGGTGCAAAAAATCACATGACGCTGTAATACAGCACTTTTCCCTTGGTCAGCGGAGCTGCCATTTGTTACTTAACTGTGTTCCTACATGTTTGCAACAAGATTTCAGAATCAGATGATTTTTTGATAGCTAAAACTTTACTATTAAGTACAATCATTAAGCAGAGACAAAAATGCAAAAAATTGAAAGAATGGGTTCAAAATATTTATTTAGAGTGACCTGTTTAAGGAGAGTTTCCCCCTGCCTAGTTTGGGAAATGAATATCCTGAATTATTTTAAGATTAAATTAAGAAGAAGAAATAAATTTATAAAACTGGTTTGGAATACAGTATATAAAGAGAACTAAATTACTTGAAACATCATTCACCATATAATAAAATCAACTTCATATTTTTTAATCTCCACCCTCCCTTGACTTGCTTGTTTATATGTGGTATGGGAGTGAGTGTAATAAGTGTTTTATAATTTGATTATTTTCTACGAGGGCAATCCCAAAAACGTTCGCAAGTGGTGTAGAGAGTTTACAGCCGGTCGTACTGAAATTCATGACGAAGAAAGGGGCGGGAGGCCGTCAACTGCCGACGAGACAATTGCGAAAGTTGAGGATCTCATGCGTAAAGATCAGAGGATCACTCTGGATGCTCCGATGATGAGGTGAAAGATGAGGTTCAACGCTTCCTGAAGGGCATGGCAGCATGCTGGTATGGCATGGGCACTGTAAAACTGTCACAGCGTCTACAAAAATGCATCGACCGAAATCGCGATTATGTTGAAAAATAAAGCATTCTTCAATCTTTAAAGTGATGTAGCAAGTATAGAAAATAAACAGTTCTTTGTATATCTAAAAATATAGGAGACCTCTTTTTTTGGGATTGCCCTCGTATATAATTATTACACAAATAAATTAGACAAAAATTTTCATCCAATAAAATTTCTAAAGGATGCTGTTTTTAATATTTTTAGCATAATGCGACGTTAGTCCAAATGCTCTCAAAACGTGTATGTGCCAGTAAATAAAAATAATTTTTTAAAAAAGCACCCATTTGAGTGTAATATGAAATCTGAAAGCTTTCAGATATTTTCATTTTATTAATATTTTTTCTTTTTATTTATTTTTGAATTTAGAATAAGGTTCAGACATTGGACAGCTTATATAAAATTATGTGCAGGATAAAATGTGCAATGAGGTAAAAATAAAGAGATAATTCATATAAGAGATACAGATGTATCATTACATAACGGGTTAATTATTTGTTTCTATTTGCGTTCACAATTTTAAACTAAATTAAAAACAACAATAATAATAATAGATAAAATAAGATTGGATTGGATTATTGAATTATGGCAAAGCACACGAGGGCTATCTGCCTAAAGGGACCGATGCCTTCAGGGAGGACTTTCTAAGGGAAACTGGCTCGTATACATGTTACACATGGGGAAAACCATGAAAATGCCCATGCAGCCAGCCCGTTCGGAGGATTCGAACCTCAGATCGAACATCCAATGTTCAGCATCTTTACCGCTCGGCCGCTGGTGGGCCAGATAAAAAGAGTAATGAAAACGATAATAATAACAGATAAAAATAAGAAATGAAAACAATAATAATAGATAAAATAAGAATATAATGATTCATGATTAAAGAAACATGTTTCAAAATGAGAAAATGTTAACTTTGATTTACAGTGGTTACGGGCGAGGTTTGAACTTGCAACCTTTTCCTTTGCAATCCAGTGTGCCGACTACTCAGCTATCTGCAATAGTAATTTTCATGAAAAATAATGTAAGAAGTCAAAGGTAATTTAACTAATATTCAATAAATGATTACCGTATCACCCAATTTGAAACTGTCTTCAGAAATCTCATAACTGTATTTTTATTGAATACTCTTTCAACTGCTTTATTTTAGAAGTTGTTATATTGTTGAAGTTAGTTTTTGGTATATTTAATAGTAGGATATTTATAGAGTTTTTTTGTTACAGATGAAATAACAAACATTTATAATAATTAAGGAGAATTTTCTAAGACAGAAAATTTGATTTCGTAGAAACTGTAATTTATTTAGGTTCCTATTACTTATGGTGTTGTATACAGATGAAGCATATAAATGTACCGGTTGGATCATTGCTTTATAAATATACAGTTTTTTTCCCTTTAATGAAAATTTGAAATTGATACCAATATACTGACAGTGACACGAACAATGCTGATGATTTTATTGCTGTGGACAGTTACGATATCTTTAAAAAAAAACTCATCTCTGAGTGGTTCTGAAGCCATATTGAAATTTGTAAGCAAAAAGTTTTTTTCGATTAGATACAAGATAAAATATCAGTCAGCTTTGGCCGTTTGTTCACGTCGTGAACGAAAAAGGCTGAACGTGAGCGAATTCAGTTTTACATCTGTGTAATGCAAATTTATGCGGGTTTAAAAAAAAAAAAGTGGCAACTATGTCACGAGCGTACTCATGTGGAAGAGAAGTAGTTTGATTGCTACTTATCACTGAGTTATAGCCTTTTCTGAGTGAAGGTTTTATAACTTCAGAAGCATTTAATTATTAATTTTCAAAAATTTTGGGGGATAAATTAAGGATAATTGAAATGAGTACTAAGAGAGCAATAACTTCAATAATACTGATATTTATAATATCCTGATGAAATTTGTCATTTTGTTATTTGTAATAAAGGCAAATAATAAAACTCTGATAAATATAAAATAAGAAAGTTGTTACTCTCTCCCTTTTTTTTTTTTTTAACTGAAAGTGCATAGCTTTACTTTTAGAATTAATGATTATTAACAAGAATCAAAATCAGATACAATTTCATTAAAAGGTTAGATCCCTTACTGTAAATCTGAATTTTTAGCATTACCATTTTAACAATTTAAAATTTTCTACTGAAAATTTCATCAAGAAGGTAAATCTTTTTTGTTATGTATTTATGTACTTACCTTTAAAACATAAAAAGTAGACTGCACAACAGTTTTGAAATCATGAACACATGGTGTTCATAATTCAAGTTCAGTTCATAATTTTCAGTTTCAGAATGAAAGTAATTATTTTACATTAAATAATTTTAATGATAAAGAATATAATGTATTTGTTACTTCTAAATTAATAATCTATATTGCTTAAATATTATTCTAAAATAAACAACTATTGATATAACTACAAGAATTAGCTAATAAATTATAACTGATTGATGACCGATATTTAATTGGATCATTTCAGACTAGTATAACCAATATGGATAATGAAAATGGTCATGGCAGAATCTTATGAATTTTCTCACCTTACCTGTTACTCCCTGAGATTTGCATGCTCACACTCTGCTATAAATACTATATATCTGATGGAAATCACAGTTGTCAGAGAGTAGTTAAACCTTGTTTCTACGTCTAAGCTTATTCATCAAATTTGCCTCCATTACTTCCAATATTTTTCCTATCCTCAAGGGTTTTTTTTGCTTTAACCATTTTATATTTTCCATTGTTGCATTGGAAAAGGAATGATTTTTATTTCTAAAATCTCTTCAAATGGTACATTATACTTCAAATAATACATGCAGTATAGAAACTGCACTTTTATCACTCATTCTCACCAATTAGACTATAATATCAAAATTTCTTACTTTCACAAAACAGAGAGGGTATCTATATAATATTTTTCAATACCTATTTAGTAGTACAATGCAGTATGGTTTATTATTACTTTATTTAATTCTATTATTATTAATTTATTTAATTCTGGCAATACCTTCTAGTACATAATACATAAATTAAAATTAGCCATATTTATGTATGTTATGCAAACATTCTTTCTTTATGTAGCATCCACCATTATTCACAGTTTATCGAGGAACCTATTACCTATGGCTAAAGTTGCACAATAGTATTCTATTCATAGAAGAAAAAAAAAGTGTTTCAATTTACAAAGAAAACAAATAACTACAATCCATTGACTAATGTGTCAATACTTCTAATGTTCATAACTTATCATGTTCCAATTATGTGCAGAAATATACTACTGATGCATAATGACATGCTATTGAATTACATGAGATACATCTATGTGATATATTCATTAATATGTGTGATATATTCATTAGAATACCAAAATTATTTTGCATTTCAAGCCAATAAACATATCATGACAATCATCTGAATCAATTAAGCTTCTTAAAATATGCATATTTTACTGTTTTATCTTTCTATATTAGTTAAATCAATAAAAAATCAAAAGCTATTTGATAAATTAACAGCAAGTTTAATTTTAATCAGCTTTGAAAAATAAGCAGTTGCAATAATTGTAGTCCAGATAATTTGAGTTCTGAATTTCTTTCTTGCAGTATGCAATATTTATAAATGAAACTGTACAGATAATCTATGAGAAATATTTTTTGAGGGATTAAATATTCTAGTCATCTAATTCTGTATCCCATTTCCCTTTTGAATGGCACTATATAGTAGCTGTATTTCTCATAATATATTCTGGAAATGTTTTGAAGTTCTAAAATTATCATTACAACAACTTTTATGCCAATATTTAAAGAAAAATATTTTGCATTTAATTTGAATTTCTGTTGAATAAGCATAACAGCTGTAAAAATCAGATATTAATTTCATCAGAATTAGTCCATTCTCATGTGCGCAATAAAATACATTCTAAACTAAATAATATAAAATAAGGAAAAGCTTAAATATATATGGATACATATAAAGGGTGATTCTAAATTGCTTTTACAAATTAAGAGGGGTGATAGTACTTATCCAGACGAGCAATAATTGCCATAGAACATAGGCAGGGTTCATAGCCACATTTTAGTTAAAAAAATAAGCACCTATAAGCACTTTTCAAGCACATTTTAAGAAGAAAAAATAAGCACCTGTCCTAATTACATTATACACAACTGCATAACCTTAAAAGAAAAATTAGACTTGTAATTTAAAAATGAGCAATGCAATATTTATTATGAGAATGAAGCATTACCTCAACAATGAAAAACAAATAACTTTTTTTTTTTTTTAATTTTATTTTAAATGACAGTTCAATTTACAGAATTAGTTTACAAATGAGAGGAAAAAAACTATGCAGAACTAAACTGTATTACAAAATTTTAATGATGATATTTCAGTTGAAAATATAGAAAATAAATAATAATAAGCCATATTAATTGTATTCGATTGGCACCTAATAATAAATACAATTTATTTTTCCACTCATATTAATATTTAAATAATTTAACTTAAACTCAAAATTCTGAACATTTTCTAAATTTTTATTGTATAACAGATTTGATTTATGAGCACTTAAGGAGTTTTACTGTGCCTGCTAAGCAGAATATTTTTCAGTTCCGTTGGGCTATTTCTACATGACGCACATATCGAAATGTCAAAAGCCCTTAACAGATATTTCAAGCAAAGTAATTTAAGTAAAAATAAGAAAAAAGAGGAACATTTCTGAAATCAGAAGACGGGAAATTGCTTCATGCAGTCATCCTTTAACGGTAAAAGCTTAACTAACCCGCATACTTGGAAATTCCCGAATATTCCCGATAGTAACTGGAAAAAGAGGAGTGGGGGATATTGTACTGCTCTTTAGATTTAAATTTAGGCTAAATAAATTATTTTGACATTTCGATATGTGCATTATATAAAAACCAACGGAACTGAGAAATATTCTGCTTAGAAAGCACAGTAAAACTCTTTTAAGTGTTCATAAACAAATCTCAGACTGAACATCAAAATTAATTATCCAATGCAAAATACCGCAAACGTTATTGCGCAATACGTGCGGCGTAATTCCATTCCGATATGTGATATTACGCAATCGGAATCAACACCTGCCGGTATTCGGAGAATAAAGAACTAAATAAAGGAAAAGAAAGAGACTTACTAGTCTGGGGTGTTTCTGATTCTAATTTTCAACAGACTGTATTAAATTTCTGGAACAGAATCAATCTTCGCTTGGGTTGGGTAGACCGCAAAAACTTTTAGTCCTATTCAATCCAGATTGGACAGTGACAAAAAAAAGATCCGCTGCTTCAATATTAGAGATTTTGCAAAGAAACTCCCAACCTCCATACTGTATAATGTATTCACAAAGAAAATGAAATTATTTTGACTGTTCGATTACTTTCCTTTTATTTAAGCCATTCCGAAAATTATTTCTTAAAAAGCTAATCTGTGTAAAAACACAACCATTTTTGGAAGTTTATCTATACTTCAGCAGTTACTGCAACTATATTATTATAAATATTCATACATATGCTCATAATATAAGCATAAAGATCACAATAAACACGAATATGAACTGGCCACGCGGAACGAGAATGCAAATTATTAAAATCTTGATAGAAATTCAAACGTGTGTAGTATTTGGGAGGGAGGAAAAGAACACCAAATATATAACTATATTACAAAATTTAATGATTATATTTTTTTTTCTACCGTTTTCGCAATTCTTTGGCCAATAGAACGACGTGCCCCTTGTCTGTACTCTCGCGCGGACCATAGGTTACGTTAATGCAGAGGAAAGGGGATAAAAGCAATTTCCGGGAGTATGATTCACCATCTGACGTTGCATATAAGGAAGAAAAGTTGTTTATTTAGTTTCAGCTTTGTACGGGGGAAAAATGCGAGTTCATTAAAAACAAAGGATTAAAAAAAAGCACTAAAAGCAAAAAATAAGAACTAAAAACAAAAAAGTAAGGGCTTTAAAGAGATAGTAAGCACCTATAAGGGCTTTTATATTTTATTTTCAAATATAAGGACTTATAAGCACTTGTAAGGACCGCTACAAACCCTGATAGGGTCGCATTCCATCCTGAGAGGCAGAAAAGAAGAATATTAGAATTTCAACCTGAACTTAAACAGTGTTGGGAGAGCGGATGAATGACACCAAAAGTTGCACAATCAGTTTAGTGAAAAACTCACAGAGAGGGCACAAAACGGATAAAACTGAAAACTTGGCTTTCAAGTGTAAATTCAAGCTGCTCAGACTTTGATGGCAAAAACTCAAATGCACATCTTTGGTTGACAAGGTCTCAACCTAGCAAACAACTGCAACAAGTTAATTATCTAAATGATTAAGGGGGAACTACTACCTTAATATCAAGTATCAAGGTAGCAGTTTTTCCCTTTTGCCATCTTCTATCCTGTCATCCTGGACTACTGTGCTGCGCTCATTCTACTTAAAGTGCCCTTCTATGGGACACGAAGTTATGACAGCAGGAGAGCATGAACTTTTTATGCTCTTCTCAGCATACAGCGGAAGTTGGATTTAATTGATAATATTCAGCCCTTGATTAGATAATTAACTTGTAGCAGTCATTTGCGAGGTTGAGACCTTGTCTACCAAAAATGTGCAATTGAGTGTTTGCCATCAAAGTCTGAGCTCGAATTAACACTCGAAGGCCTAGTTTCTGGTTTTATCCATTTTGTGGTCTCTCTGCGAGTTTTTCACTAAACTGATTGTGCAACTTTTGGTCTCATTCTTCCAACACTGTTTAAGTTCAGGTTGGAATTCTAATATATCTCTTCTGCCTCTCGGAGTGGAATGTTCTATGGTAATTATTGCTCATCTAGATGAGTACTATCACTGCTCTCAATATGTTGTAAAAGCAATTTAGAATCATTCTATATATGAAACAGTTAACATACCTCATAAATATATAGTACTTTTATTCTTCCTCATCTCTGTGATATAGTTAAATGCAGCATTTTTGGAAAACAAAATAAATACACTTTTTTAAGTCACCTTTCAGATATGCCTTCTGAAAAATCAATTAAATCATTTCTGAAATAGCTTTTAAGATGGTTCTGCTATGAAATCAAATTGATTGGTAATTGCTCAAAGACAAATGTTATTTTAATCATACAGGACAAATGTTAATGTATTTTGCAATAAAGTATATCACTGCAATAAACATTAGCATACAAATCAATTTACCTCAAGCACAATATAATTCTGCAAATAAAATTTTCAAATTATATAAATAAATATGATTAATGATATAAATTAATCACAGATATACTGCTTTTCTCGCAATATAACTGCAGTATCCAATTTCATCTAACTCTCGTAAAAAAGTGTACAAGGTGGTTCAGAGAATTGTACAAAATGCGATTACATAAGAGATGTACCTTGAGCTTGATGTTTTATTTCTGCTTTTAAGGCATTTTCTTTTTCTTTCATTTTCTGCTCAAGACTATTTTTAGAAGCTTCTGAATTATGTCTCTGACACTCCAGCTCTTGACATAATTGTTTGACTCGCAGTTGAAGGAACTGAATCTAAAATAAAACATAAAAAAAAAGTTGTTAAAAAGTTACCAAAATTTTAAAACAGTAAGTATATTTATTATTTAGTTTACAAAGATGTTGCTTTTGTCAAATGTTCTGTCAGCAGAAATGAAGGTATTTGATTAACAGCATATGATTATTACATTAAAACAAACATGTGCTTTATTGCTGACCTGGCATAATTGGCATGGGTTTCAGAATATGACAAAGATTAGATTATTAAATTACAGTTAAGACATTATGGCTATTTGCCAGTGGGATAAGATAACTCATGAAAGACCTTCTAAAGAGAATCCAATAATTACTTTATACATACATGGCCCCATAACAACATGCACAGAAAAACCATAAAAACTAATTGCAGCCATTCTATTTAACAACAAATAATATTTTTTTATTATTATTGAATTGCCAGTATTTCACAGCTTTCTTAATTTGGTTATGGATTGGCCTGCGATTAGATAAAATTTTTTGGTTAGTTCCTAAAATGGAATTTTCTAAATGGGTTTAACACTAGATTGCCCAAGGAAGTCATTTTGACTGCTTTTTAATTTCAATTAGAAAAACAATTATGTACCGAGTAGCCATAATTAAACTGACAGTGCTCACAGTGTTCTGTAGCGCGATCTATTTAAGAGAATGACGCCACATTTTGTAGGAAGATTAAACAAGACGGGGGACGAAGGATTCCACGAAAAAAACAAATTAGTTCCAAAAGTCACCGCTAGGGAAATATTTGGCGCTGTGTAATAGAAAATAGAGTGTTAACAAATGCAAATTAATACGGAATAAAATTACCTTTTATTACGCACATTTTCTGATTTATTTCAAGTGCAATATGGCAACACTTTTAAAAAAGCGTAAAATCTACATAAACACTAATAAAGTCTCGTGATCTGCAATATCATGTACACTGAGCAGAAGAAGAAGTTCTTTATTCAAATTTCACGTTACATCCATTCGTACAGTGCAAGCTGCTTGGGTTTTAAAAGGCAATGTGTTACGTTTCAAATCAATCGGATTGAAAGTTTATGTGCAATGTCTCCTTCTTTAGTCAAGCATGTGTTACTGATCAAATTCTTTTACCTCAGTGCAACGCGTCAGCCCCTCTTCGTGCTTTTAGAATGCACAAAAAAATGCATAAAGGTAACTGTCCTGTGTCAGTTAATGGGCTAAAAGCAATGGTTGCGATGTTCAGGGGTGTTTGTGGGACCCCATAAAATCCCCTGAAACTTTTACGGACTTACTACCGACATTTTGGAGTTTCGAGAAGGGGGGGAAGAGAAATGAAAAATTACAATTTTGAAGTATTGAATGACCTAATTATAAAAGTTCAATGAATTACTTTTTTTGCAAAATTAATAACCATAAATTTTCAAACATATAAACTACTACATTTTATATAAATATTTTAAATTACCTGAATTAATTCTTTAAAAAAAAATTATCTAATTTCTGCTGCTTTTTTTTTAATTTTCTGATGTTTGTGGGCTTGTCTTTCTTTTGTGGTGAACTTCATAATTGCAGGAAGGTTGACTTTTATTTTCCTCATTTACAGTTGAAGAAATTTCCTCGAGAACTGCACATGCAGAGGTAGAAGCAGTTTGCTTTTCTGCTAATGTAGAAGGTTTTTCAGAGACTTTTATAGACGACTCATCTGAAATACATGTTTTTAAGTCCTCTTGATATGTTTTCCAACTTCTGTTCATATTCAGTAAGAGATCTTTGTGAATTGGATCAGTCATTAGATTTTTTGAGCCATATTTTTCACATGAGGTTTCTTTAGAAGCCATTAAATCATATTTAATAGTCTGCACTGCATCTAGGGAATCAATCTTAAGAGAGGTTCTATAGTCAGTGACAAGTGTATCCATTAAGTTGAATGCACTTTCCACTAATGGGCCATGGAAGCAGCTAAGGCAGGCTTTGACCAATTTAGCCAATGTAGGATACTTATAATCATTTGTGAAATCATCTTTTAAATTAAAAACTTTAGACCAATATTTATCAATTGTACACTTGACTTGATTTCCACTTTCATCAGATGTGTAGAGCATTTCTTTGGTGATATCAATATCACTCTGGTATAACCTTATTTCAGCTTCTACTTTTGACTTTTCATTATCACTAAAAATATGGGACATAAAAGATGATAATTTTTCAAAAGCTAATATTGTACTGGTTTTACCTCTTAGCTCTGGATCTAATGCTGTAAAACTAATTAGATATGAATTTTTAAGGGGTAATTTCTGTTTCATATGCTGTGCTGTATTGGTATAAGCTTTCATCAGAGAAATTTGGAATTCTTTTGCTATTGGATGATTTTTTGATAATTTCTTCAGGAGAGTGGAAGCTTCTGCACCAGTAAATATTACTTTGCTAGGTAGATGGAATTCTGGATTTGTGACATCAACCTTTAATAATCATTATAAGATGTGCACTCTATATTTTCTGGCTTCATAAAAAAAGAGAAAAATTTTGCCATCAATTTATAAATACTAGAATGTATTAAATGAAGCATTGGTTTTTTTGTTTCAAATAATTTAATATATGTGTTGAACTCTAGTAATACTGCTGAATATAATGCCATATGCAATAAGGTTTTGTTTTGCATAACAAATAACCCATTTAGTATTCTTTTTTTCTGAGCTAAAGCATCCTTCGTGAGTTGTTGGGAATGCAAGCAAGAATACACCCCTTCAACAATTTTTTTCTGAGCTGCAGAAATATTTCTTTTATTGTATACAGTTTCAACATAAGAAAAATAATCCCTTTATCAGTTTTATCCAAGTAGTGAAAATAAAATGCAATAAGAGCATCCCACAGATCTTTGATTCTTTCTAAAACACATAAAATGTACACCCACCTATGGTCTGGTCTCTTCAAGGGCTTAAGTTTTTTAATGGCAAGGGAAATTCACAGATTTTGAAAAAATTTTCTCTTTTACTGCAGCTTTTCATATCAAAATAGATGTCATCAAACAAATCTTCTAAGTATCTATCAAAACATGAAGCAAATTTTTTTGCACAGTTATTAGCTGTGTGACATGTGTCCCCATTAATATCTAATAAGTGGGGTGCTTTGTTTGATCATAGTCTGGTTTCAACACCCTTTTTTTTTTTCCACGCATGGTGTTACATGAGTCCATTAATACACTAATTGAGTTTGCCCATGGAATATTATTATCTTCAATAGTATTAACAACTGCTTTAAAAACAGCTTCTGAATTGCAAGATTCCATCTTTAGAGATGCAAAATGATGAACTACAACTTCATTTTGATTGTTGTCATAAAACTGCACCAATATTGCCAGTATACTTTCTTGAGCATTGCTAGTACTTTCATCCAAATTTAGAGAAAATGGAGTCTCCTTTAAAGTTTTAATTATATTTTCCTTAATAGTTTTTGCGAGCCCATGTTTCATCTTATAACATGCAGTAGTCCTGGACATTTCTAACGAGTTTAGTGCCGTCTGATCGCGGCCTCAACTGTTTGCAGAGTTCAATTAAATTGGGAGCTACATTGAAAGAAAGAGAATTCTCAGCGATAAAGAAAGTTATTAATACCTATTGGCGTGCTTTTCCTGTCACTATATCCAATGGCCGAGCATCAGTCTCCAGTAAGTCATCAGTATTTTTTGAATTAGCATAATTACTTAAAGTCATTGAATGTCTAATGCACTTTGAATATTTTATGTGCGTCACAGTTTTAGAATGATTTGTGAAAGCCTTGAATCCTTCCCCACCATACTTCAGCAGTGAGTTACAAAAAACACAATATGCTTGTCCAGCAACATTTATTTTCTTGCACCATGTGCCGATGGTATCCCCATTACCATCTCTTCCGTTCAATCCAATTCCACCTAAATGCATTCCGGACACCTTCTTCTAATTGTATAATATCACTATTTATATCGAGAAATTTCATAGTGAAATTCTCTTGCGTACATAAATAAAAAAAATATTTCAATAAACGAAACGAAAAATTTACACGTGCATCAATAAATGAAACGAAAATTTTACACAGCGGAGGAAAAAAAAGTTGAGAAGCGATCAATGACAAATAGCTAATACGGCGAAAAATCCCCTTCTCTACTTATTGGCACCACGCCAGGAGAGATAAGACCTTTGAACCCAGAGTCACGTGATCGCACATCTGGTCGAACGAAGTCTCTCCCTTTTTTTCTTTTTTTTTCTGCCACGCCTACTTGCCGAAAAGAATCCAGAAGAGAATGTCCGAGAACCGGGGGAATGAGTCATAACTCGCAATAAGGAAAGAACAAAAAGAAGTTTTTTCCCCTTTTCACGCATTATCACTGCCTTTGGAGGAAAGAAAGGAAAAGTTTTCACCACACACACTGACCTTGCGTTTTCTGCTTTCAAAGCAAACAAAATTACCCAGATCAAAATAAATAATTCATTATTATTCCTACTTCCTTTTGAACAATAATCCCCGGAATTGCCGGGTATCAAAGTTCAAAATCCCCGGAATTCTGGGATTTTTCCGGAGCAAAAACACCCCTGGATGTTTGAGAAAGCAGGTTCTCTGAAGGTTCAGTCAGGCAGAGGACGAAAACCTGTACCACAGGATACAATCAATGCAGTTGCCACGGCGATTGTCAACAGAGGACCAGACAATATTGCTGCCACCTCTAGCACTTGTGGAGTAACTCGGAATATGGATATGCCTTACAGTACGGTATGGAAAATCTTACGAAAGATTATCAACTTATATCCATACAAGATCAACCATGTACAGGAGTTACTGTACCCCGACCATGATAAGCGATTGACTTTTGCTCACCTTTCTTGCCAGAATGGAGGTGGATGATGCTTGGTCGTGGAAAATCTTAAGGTCCGTTCCCACTGGGGTTTATCTGAGGTAACGAACACAACTAATGCAGTCGACCCATCCCCAAAACCAGTTTTTCCCCATAGAGCAGCAAGTTGAAAAATCTGAACTGCAGGCACAGCGGAGCTAGTCGACACAGG